AGTTCACAAAGGGTCTGAGGAAGGAAGAGGCCACAGAAGGGGCCATGGTAACGCTGCACTGTGAGCTGAGCAAGGCGGCCCCTGTGGAGTGGAGGAAGGGGCTCGAGACCCTCAGAGCTGGGGACAGAGTCAGCCTGAAGCAGGACGGGGCTGTGTGTGAGCTGGAGATCCAGGAACTGGTTGTGGCGGATGCCGGGGAGTACTCGTGCGTGTGCGGGCAGGAGAGCACGTCGGCCACATTGACCATCAAGGGTAAAGTCTGCATATGGCCTCATGGACCAGTGACTTGGTGTCTGCACATTTCTACTCTGTCAACACCTGCTCCGTTTTAGCATCCGTGGGTTTATGTCTCCAACTTGGGTCCCCGAGCATCTCCCAGCTTCATCTCTCTGTCCAGAAGTCCTGATGTCCATGTCTAGTCCTTGTGTCTACTGTTCCTCTTGTTCCATTTGCCTTTGTCACCATCTGTGCATTTGTTCTCAAGTTCATGCCATGGCCAATAGCTGTTTGTGTGGTCCTTGTGAGTGTTCTTGTCCTAGACACACAGTCCCACGGACAATCTGAAGTTCTCTGTGTCACTCTAACCCTCCCCAGCCGAGCCTGCGAAGTTCACAGAGCCTGAGGGATGAGGAGGCCACTGAAGGGGCCACAGCCATGCTGCTGTGCAAGCTGAGCAAGGCGGCTCCTGTGGAGTGGAGGAAGGGGCTCGAGACCCTCAGAGCTGGGGATAGAGTCAGCCTGAGGCAGGACAGGGACCTGTGTGAGCTGGCGATCCGGGAACTGGTTGTAGCAGTTGCCGGGGCGTACTTGTGTGTGTGCGGGCAGGAGAGCATGTCGGCCACACTGACCTGGCCACATGGTCAGGGGTGAAGACCATGTGTAGCCTAGCAGAGCCGTGCCTTGGTTTCAGTTACTTGCTTCATGACATCTGCCTGGGCTCATTCCATGTTCTCCGCTGTCCCAGTGTCATTCTCTTCCCATAATTCCACAGAATCCCTTCCACCTTCCTGGCTGTTGTGCAAACCATGAGAAACCAGCATCTAGGCCCCTTCTCATCCCTCATGTCACCACTGGTTTTGTTCTGTTTCCTGTCAGAGTCTGTGTCACCTCGTCCATCCAGTCATGTCCTGCCCCAAATTTCCCCACAGAATCTGTTTCATGTCTTTCCAGCCCTCCTGGCCCTGTCCACCAGTTTCATGAAAGTGGCACAGCCCTGCTGTTCACAGGCTGGCTGAGAGATGCTACCATGCACAATGTGACTGGGCACACCCAGCATGTGGCCCGTGTCCACATGGGTTTTATGTCTCCTCTGTGCTGTCCATGTCTTGTCTTATCCATGAGCTCATATCTATGACTGTGCCCATATCTTTCTGACTCTCAGCCCTGCCCGCCAAGTTCACAAAGGGTCTGAGGAAGGAAGAGGCCACAGAAGGGGCCATGGTAACGCTGCACTGTGAGCTGAGCAAGGCGGCCCCTGTGGAGTGGAGGAAGGGGCTCGAGACCCTCAGAGCTGGGGACAGAGTCAGCCTGAGGCAGGATGGGGCTGTGTGTGAGCTGGAGATCCAGGAACTGGTTGTGGCGGATGCCGGGGAGTACTCGTGCGTGTGCGGGCAGGAGAGCACGTCAGCTACACTGACCGTCAGGGGTAAAGACCATGTGTGGCCATGTGAGCCAATAGCTTGGTGTCTGCAGAGACCACCTTCTGCTCTGTAGGGCTGTGTGTCTGGGTCTCTCCTTGAGCATCTCCCCGCTGTGGCTGCGGCCAATTTCATGCCCTGATATTTGTGTCCAGTCCTTTGTCTCCTCTGTTCCTCTCCTCAGTTTGCCTCTGTCACCATCTGTGCATTCATTCTCATTTACACGTGGCCCTTTGCAGCTTGTGTGGTCCTTGTGGGTGTCCTTGCCCTGGACACACACAGAGTCCCGCAGACAACCTTAAGTTCTCTGTGTCACTGTGACCCCCCGCAGCCTTGCCCGCGAAGTTCACAAAGAGTCTGAGGAAGGAAGAGGCCATGGAAGGGGCCACAGCCACACTGCGCTGCGAGCTGAGCAAGGCAGCCCCTGTGGAGTGGAGGAAGGGGCTCGAGACCCTCAGAGCTGGGGACAGAGTCAGCCTGAGGCAGGATGGGGCTGTGTGTGAGCTGGAGATCCGAGGTCTGGCTGTGGCAGATGCCGGGGAGTACTCGTGCGTGTGCGGGCAGGAGATCACGTCGGCCACACTGACCATCAAGGGTAAAGATTGCCTGTGGCCACATGGACTCATTTGGGTGCCATGGCCCACTCCTTGTCTCTTGCATCCACCCTGGGTACTCATGGGCGCTCCCTCCTCTCTGCCTTGAACAATTTCCCTCTCTCTCCTTTCTCCTTGCCTACCACTGTGTTGTCCAGTGTCTTGGTATCTAGGTACTGATCTCCATCCAAATGATTTCCCTTGATCAGTTCTCATGGTAAAGACAGAATTCCAGCTTGTCCTTCTTCCTATCCTAATCTGTTTATTTTTTCCCCTTTCTAGCCTCTAGTCATGGTCTTAGGGGTCCGATTGCCTGATGGGACACAGCCCTGCCTATGGGCATCCTAAGTGGAGGCTGGCATGAGATTTGCCTGGTTAGATCCAGAGCTCCTCCCAAAGCTCCCACCATGGACTCTCCTTTCCCTTGAAGGGGACCCAGACCATGATGCCCTTTCCTACCCCAGTCTTCTGGGACCTGTGGCAATGAGTCCATTGGGCATCCAGACAGCTGGGGTGACGCTGAGAGCCATGCTTGACCTAGGTTCTCAACAAGGTTGACTGGTGTAGGGGGCCTGTTTCCTGACTAGGCGTGTGTGGGGCTTGTCTCCTGGCTGGGTCTCTAGACTGACCCTGTCTCCCCTCTTCCCACCCACCCCACAGCCCCGCCGTTGGTATTCAGGGAGCCTTTGCAGAGCCTGCAGGCTGAGGAAGGCACAGGGGCCAGGCTGCGATGTGAGCTGTCTGAGCCCAGGGCTGTGGTCTGGAGCAAGGGTGGCCTGGAGCTGCAGGCCGACGAGCGCCGGGAGCCACGGCAGCAGGGCTGCATGGTGGAGCTGGTGCTGCGGGACCTGCGCTGGGAAGATGCGGGCGAGTACACCTGCACCTGTGGCTCCCAGGCCACCAGCGCCACTGTCACCGTCACAGGTGGGCCCCAAGGTGGCCTCTGCCCTCTGCATAGGCCGTGCATGCTTTGGGGGGCCCTCTGGGCTGCAGTTTGTACTGGAGTCCAATCTGAGGGGACTCTGCCTCGGGCAGGGCTGGTGGGTGGACCTGACCAGATGTTCGGTTGACTCTACGTCCCCCCTCCCCACAGCTGCACCCGTGCGGTTCCTCCGGGAACTGCAGGCCCAGGAGGTGGATGAGGGTGGGACTGCACGCCTGTGCTGTGAGCTGAGCCGGGCGGGCACCAGTGTGGAGTGGCGCAAGGGCTTGCTGCAGCTCTTCCCCTGTGCCAAGTACCAGATGGTTCAGGAAGGCGTGACTGTGGAGCTGCTGGTGCACGATGCAGACCAGGAGGACGCTGGGCACTACACCTGTGACACAGGCCACGCACAGAGCACTGCCAGACTCTCAGTTCGCGGTGAGCTGCCCGCGGGTCCCTGCCTTCCCAGGGCCCCTCAGACCCTGTGGAGTGGAGGCTGGGGTGCGTTGCTCAGCACTTCTAAGTCACCCTCTGGCCCCCCAGCCCCCAGGCCCATGTTCCAGACTGAGCTGCAGGACGCAGAGCAGGAGGTGGGCAGCCTGGCCCGGCTGTGCTGCCAGCTGAGTGAGGTGGAGCCTGGGGCCCCTGTGCAGTGGCTCAAGGAGGGTGTGGAGCTGCACACTGGCTCCAAGTACGAGATGCATCACCGGGGGGCCATGTGTGAACTGCTGATCCACGGGCTCGAGGCCAAGGATGCGGGCCAGTATGCCTGCGTGGTGGGTGGCCAGAAAACCATGGCCTCTGTCAAGGTCAGAGGTGAGCCTTTCCCTAATAGCTGCCCTGTGACCCCCTCCCCAGGTGCTGTTCCAAGGGTGGCTCTCAGGCCCCAAGGTTACAAGCTCTCTCTTCTCATTTCGGCATCACTCCCCTGTCGACAGTGGGAAAAGGGAGTCTGTGGCCCCTGGGTGCTGCCCTGCCTCCTGCCCCTAGCCGGCAGGTAGGGCAGCCTGACTTGGGCTGTCCTCTCTGAGCCCCTGCCTGTCTGTCTGAAGGTCTTGCCTTCCTGATGTCCCAGCCAGGGCAGGGCTGGCCGCGGGGTGGGGATGGAAAGAGGCAGCTCCCCACTCTGCAGCCCCTTGCCTACTTCATCCTAACAGAGATGCTTGAGCCCATCTTTGCCCCTAGGAGGTCTCTGTAGCAAGTGAGGTGATGGATGCTATGTGAGGCAGATAGAGACCATGACAGGACAGGCGTGTGAGAGTATCCGGGAAGGCTTCATGGAGGAGGGAGAGTTAAAAGTTCACCTGGGTGCTCAGGCCTGACTGGTAAAGGGTCCCATCACCCACACCCCAGAGCCTGAGGTAACCATTGTGTGAGGCCTGGTTGACATGGAGGTGCAGGCTGACAGGGAGGTGGAGTTCAGCTGTGAGGTGTTGAGGTCAAGGGCCACAGCTGCCCAGGGGTGCCTACAGGACCTGCCATTGCAAAGCAGCAAGGTGGCAGAGGTGGTTGTGCAGGGCGACCACACCCACATGCTGCAGCTGAAGGGTGTGACATGAAGATGCAAGCTCAGTCTTCTTCCACCTGGGCCTCTACAAGTCCTCAGCCCAGCTCACTGTCCGTGGGAGTGGGTGAGGGTGGCTGCCCCTCTCAGCACACTCGGAGCCAAAATGTCCAGACCCTGTTGGGAGACAGAGGCAGACTGCAAGGGTCCCTGCTTTGGGGACTGGGAACTAGCCCCATGCATGGGTGGTTCTGAGGTGGCCCAAGATGCCAGGGTTGAGTGGTACCCTGTATGCTTATCTGTAGAAATTGGGGTGGGGTGCTGGGGGCAGACTCCAGAACTGGAAGGTGCTCCTGACAGTGGAGCATTCCAGCTGTTGAGGCTGATGCCACACTTCCCTTGGTGCAGCCCCCCAGGTGACCATTCTGGAGCCCCTGCAGGATGTGCAGCTCAGTGAGGGCCAGGATGCCCATTTCCGATGCCGGCTGTCCAGGGCCTCTGGCCAGGAGGCTCGCTGGGCCTTGGGAGGAGTGCCTCTGCAGGCCAACGAAATGAATGACATTACAGTGGAGCAAGGCACACTCCACTCGCTCACTCTCCACAAGGTGGGACCCTGGGACCTGCCTCCATCCACATGCTCCCAGGAGTGTGGGAGGAGAAGATTCCAACTCCCATTGGATTGGCCTGGGGAGTTGTCAGGAGACATGGTATGAACAGACTGCCAGGCTGAGACCCCATCTCCGCTCCCACAGGTGACCCTCGAGGATGCAGGAACCATCAGTTTCCAGGTGGGCTCATGTAGCTCAGAGGCCCAGCTGAAGGTCACAGGTGGGCAGCCCCCTCCCACACCTGGCAAGGTGATGTCTCCATATCCCTCCCTAGTCAAAGAGCTGTTGGGGGGTGGTGTGGTCAGAAACCCAGGTCTTCCAGCAGTTATTTTGCCTTGGGGTGGCAATTTTCCAACCCCTGACTGCTAAAGCCATGAACTGGATAGCCCACTGAGGGGGGCTGGTGAAGATCAGCTTGGGAGATTCTGGTGTGCATGTGGGGTCCCTGTGTGGGGGTTAGTGCTGTCTGCAGGAGGGAGGTGGGGAGCCTGGCCATGGGGGCAGGGGGTTGGGCCCTAAGGTGGAAGCCCTCTGTATGGCTACTCCTATGGCACAGGTCATCTTAACACACATGTGCATACTTGACAGGCTCCCAGGTGATGGTGCAGTAGCATACCTGTGACATGTGTACAATTTTGGGTATAGTGTAGTTGGCCTCAGGCATGCAAGCAGGATTTCAGGAACCTTCAACTTAGATTATACCTTGTCTGCAGAGCTGGTTATTCTTGAGTGTCTCTCACCTGCTGTTCTACTCCTGGTTTTCACACCAGTCCCATCCATCTAACCAACTATCCACTATCCATCACCATTCATCCCTCATCCACCCACCCACCATCCATCCATCCACCATACTTCATAATTCATCCATCCATCCATCCATCCATCCATCCATCCATCTATCCATCATCCATTCATCCAACACTTAGCATCCATTCACCATCGACCATCTATCCATCCATCCACCATCAATCCATCCACCATTAATTTCTATCTTCCTTCCATCCACCATCCATCTACCATTTACCTATCTATCATCCACCATCCATCCATCCACCAACATCCATCCATCAATCAATTCATCTATTCAACCATTTATCCATCCACGCATAAATCATCCATCTACCCAACCATTCATCTGTTCACCTATCGACTCATCCGTTCACCATCTACCATCCATTGAACAAACCTTCTAAGCCTCTACCCTTGTGTAAGTCTCGGATCTTCAGAGGGGCCAGGTGCAGCTCTGCCATCATGGAGCCCCCAATCCACTGGGATAATTGGACATTAGAGACAAAGCATGTCCTGGGTCTTCAGGGGTGAACAGATATGGCGAGTTCTGTGGCCTCTGGTGCTGGGAAAGACTCTGTGGTCTCTGGGATTGGGAAAGGCCTCAAGTTGAATGATGAGAGATGGGCAGTGTCCTAGGTATCGTGACCTGGCTGGGCCAGAAAAGGCTTTGTGTGTTCATCAGGGTGGTTGGTTGTGAGGGAGGACATGGAGCTGGGTTGGAACTTATGCAGGGTTGTGCCTTGACCCCTGTCAGCCAAGTCCCAGCCTGTGTCAGCTGACCTGTGTACAGACACCTGGCCATATCCTTGGGGGAGGTAAATGGCATGGGGTGTCCTGATAGGTGTTATATGGACCAGCTTAGGTACAGTGCTGGAAGTGGGAATGGGGAGCTGGTGGAGCAGTCAGGGACTGTCAGATGTGCACTCTCAGAAGAGGGTTGGGGCAGGTGGAGGGCTGGGGCTGGAGTTTTGGTGGTGCATGCCCAGAAAGAGCTTGGGGAGGTTTCTGAGGAAGGCCTAGCTGGGGCAGGTGTGGGAACACAGATCAGGCAGCAGCCGGGTTGGGGAAGCCCCTGCGCTAGGGCCTGCTGTGTGCTGGGGCAAAAGTAGTTGCCATGGGCATTAGGGCCCTAGAATTTTAGGTCTGGGGACCACAGGTGACATCTGGCCATATGGCCTTCTGGGAATAGAAGAAGTATCTGCTTCCACACCTGCAGGGATGGAAGGCTTACTACCTGAGGCAGACCCCACCCGCTCAGAGTGGCAGCCCCACAGCCTCTTCTCCCCGCCCACCTCGTAGCCATGGGGCTTGGGCCTTGTTCATTCTGATTGCTGAGGAGGCTGTGGACACATGCCTTCTGTGTATTTTTGTGAAACCAGGTGTATTCTGGAGAGGGGTGTGAGTGCAGGGACACTGAGCCCACTCCCTGTGAGTGGTTTGAATGTATCATTCCATGAGCAGGGTGGGATAGCTGGCCCGAGTTGATCTCTAAACCCCAGTGCCAGGGATCCCCAAAATGGTATACCCCCCACATAGTCCTGTGGGCCCAGGGCACCCAGCCTGCCCTCCTATTGCCCTCTTGTGCAGAGGCAGCGCCATGCCTGGTACGTGGCTTGCAGAATGTGGACGTCTTTGCGGGGGATGTGGCCACGTTCTCCTGTGAGGTGTCCTGTGCGGGTGGGCCCGAGGCCTGCTGGTGGCTGGATGGGACTCTGCTGCAGGACAGCCCCCAGAGTGCCATCTGCGTGCACGATGGGACGGTTCATTCCCTCACGCTGTCGGGCCTGGGGGTTGCTGACTCAGGCACCGTCACCTACCGTGCAGGGCCCCTGGTCTCCACGGCCAAGTTGTTGGTCAAAGGTACCGGCCGATGGGACCCCGCCTGCACTAATGCTTCTGCCATCGCTGCTCCCGCAAGCTTCCTGCAGGCTCCGGGGTAGGGGGTTGGGGGCTGGCATTGCTCCACACGTGCCATGTGTGGACACTCAGGCAGGCTGCAGTCCTGCTTCCTGGATGAGAAAGAATGCTTGGCTCAGAGCATGAAGCTGGGAGGCCAACTTCATGCCCACCTGCTCGTGGGATCCTGAGTGCTGGTGCCACCTGGTCGCCACTCTGCGGCTGCACCTATCTCAGGCATATACCCAGAGGGCAGCCTTCCCACCTTGCCCCAGCCTGCCCTATCCCTGCTCGTGGCTGCTTACACCGCTGTGGTTTGGGTTGGGGGTCTTTTCTCTTTTGGGTTGGGGAAGGCAGTGGGTTGCCAGGAACCCCTCAGTCCACTCCCAGTTGGGTGCTCCTGGGATGGCCGCTTGGTGTGGCTTCACCTGGCGTGTTTGCAGATGGGTCTTCTCTGCACTGTTGAAGAGTAAATTGACATCTTCCCAGGTCCAAGGAGCAAACCATTTTTTGAGTAGGATTTTTCCAGGTGGAGATGGGATGGCGCCCCCTGGAGGGGTGGAGAAGCCCCTGAAAAAGGGACAAAGTGGGCTGGGGGTGCTGCGTGCCCAGCAGATGCTGAGGGCCCCTGAACTTTTAGGAGGAGGCATTGTGTCCCTGCTGGTTCCCCATGCTCCCCAGGCTCAGGGAGGAAAGGGTTCAGGAGGTCAGAGGGGCCAGGAGGGGACAAGTGGATGGAGGCCGTCTGCCATGGGTGGGTTGTGTAGGGGCAAGGCTTGCACTATGTGGAGGGTCCTGGGCCACCATGGCCAGTTCCTTTCCTGCCAAAGCCCCTCGCTTGCTTGCTGATGAACTGCTGCTGCTGACCGCAGAGGGCGGGTAGGCGCTGGTCACACGGCTCAGGCTTACACGTGCCCGGCGTGTTGGCCGACAGATCCTGCAGTGGAGGTGGTCAGTGCCATGCAAGACCTGGCGGTGGAGGAGGGTGGCCCAGCCGAGCTCCTCTGCCAGTACTCACGGCCAGTGCAGGCCACGTGGAAGATGGACGAGCAGGAGGTGCGCGCCGACGGGCGTCGCGTCATCATAGAGCAGGACTGGACCGTGGCCAGGCTGTCCTTCAGACCAGCCTTGCCCTGCGACAGTGGCATCTATTCTTGTGAGGCTGCGGGCACCCGAGTGGTGGCTCTGCTGCAAGTGCAAGGTGAGGCCGCCCAGCAGGCAGCCCAGGCCTAGCAGGCTTCGGGATGGCCAGCCAAGATGCAATGGTGGAGCATCGGGCAGGGGCAGCCAGCAGAGTGTGAACGTGCCAGTACTGGAAAGATGAGATCTGAGCAGTAGGTCCTGCTGAAGCTGGCTGGGCCCTGAGCCCACCCATCCAGACCCCACCCCTCCTAAAGCAGCCTGAGAACACAGGGTGGCTGGACAGACCCTGGGCAGAGACTACACCTAAAAGAATCTGCATCCAAAACACTGGGGAGGTAGAGGCAGGCAAGGAAGCAGCCTCCGGGCAGGTGAGCAAGCAGGCCTGGGGCCGCAGGACCCTCCGCAGGGCTCTACGTGGGGCTCTGTCCCCACATCCTGGGCTCAGATCCCAGCTCTGCCCCTTCCCAGGCTGTTGCTTGGATGGTGCACCAAGCCCCATGTCCTTGAAAGGATATGCTGTTGGGGAACCAGGAGCAGGGGACAGTGGGCTGCCCCACTGTGTGGAAGGGAGCATTGTTTGGCTGAAGCCGCTTGATCTTTGGGAAAATCTGGACTGTCCCTGGTGTTGAGTGAGCTGGAGAGTGGAGACAGTTGTCGGGGCCATCCAAGCTGGATAGCAGGTGTGAGCAGGTGAGACCAGTCTCCCACAGGCCACACGCGGTCTTCCCCCCCGCTCCCTGCCACCCCATTCCCTCACTTGTTCAACAACTAAATTTTGTAAACACTTTTTTGGGGCACCTGAGAGCACATCAGGGAACAGACAAAACTCCCTCCATTCACGGCAGCACCCCTGACATCCTCATTGGAAATGTGATTGGAGCAGTGTGTCCCCAGCCTGGGGGGTGGGTCTGGGGCTCATGGACATCTGGGTAGAGGCTTCAGCCACAGGCTGGAGAAGGAGCAGAGTAAGGAAGTGGGGACAGCAGGCGCTAGGGGGCTTGCTGCTGCTTTAAAATCTGGGCGTTTATCTAACACAATGGTGACATCCTTGGGTAGGAAGCAAGGGTGAGCTCCAGCGGTGACTTCACTGCCGCCCCCTTGCTCCCCAGCCCTCCTGTCTGTCAGCTGGCCCTGATCACGCCATCCAGCAGAATGGAGTCAGACGCCTAAGTCGCTGTCAGCTCTAACGGGAGGAGAGGGGCTAGGCCAAGGGGCAGTCTACTCTGTTGTGGGAAAGCAGTGGGAGAGGGATGTGGGTAGCCCAGCAGGTCCTCTGTTTTGAAACACCCTCCCCACTTCATTTCCTGGGCCCCTGTACACAGCAGACACCCTTGCCTATGGCATGGGCCTGGCCTCTAACCGAACTGGGAGGGTACATCCTGGCTGTGTGTGGGTTCAGTCTGAGGCACGTATCCAGACAGCAGTTGGGGCTGTGGGCTCGGACCACCAGCTCAGTGACTGCAGTGGCTCCTTGCTGTCATGTGGGTCAAATTCAGACCGTTCCTAGCATCCAGGCCAGCCCCTGGGTCACCTGAAGCTCCTCTCCTGCCTGATCTCACCACCTGGCCCCTTGCATCCTTCACCCCGCTGGCCTGACTCCCCGCTGTCCCCCATGAATCCCTCCTTCATCCCCATTGCAGTGTCCCCTCTTGTCACTCCTCTTGGCTGGATGCCTGTCCTGAAAACGGTGCTAAAGGTGGCAAGCCTCACAGTCAGGCACTGAGTTCATGGCCTCCATGGAAAACGCATGGCCATTTATTATAGACTCTCGGACTTTTTAGGAGAGAACCAGAGAGGGCTGGGGAATATGGGCAGAGGTCTCTCTGGTCCCAGTGAGTGAGAGTAGCAGCCCAGCAGGTCTGATAGCACTGGCCTGGAGACAGAGGAAAGGGGGACAAGTAGAGCCCCACCTGCAGCCAGGGCAAGGGTGGCAGCACCTGTGAGGCTTCTCACCTGTGAGGTGGGGAAGACCCCCATCCTGACTCTAGTGTGGTGATGGTGTGGAGGTGGGCAGGGCCTTGGGAGGACATGCATGAAGGCTCCACGTGGACATCACTGGTCTCCCTCCTGGTGGCCCGCTGTTTGGCCCTATGTCATGGGGGCATTTCTATGCGGCCTGGGCAGTAAGGGCTCCCAAGCCCTGAGTCATCCCTCCATCCCCCAGCCAAGAATACAGTGGTGCGTGGCCTGGAAAACGTGGAGGTGCCCGAGGGGGGCGAAGCGCTATTTGAGTGCCAGCTGTCCCGGCCAGAGGTGGCTGCACACACCTGGCTGCTGGATGACCAGCCCGTGCTCAGCTCAGAGAACGCTGAGGTGGTCTACTTCGAGAATGGTCTGCGGCACCTGCTGCTGCTCAAAAACCTGCGGCCTCAGGACAGCTGCCGGGTGACCTTCCTGGCTGGGGATGTGGTGACCTCAGCGTTCCTCACCGTCAGAGGTGGGTGTGCGGGTGGTGGGGGGGAGGGTCTCTGCCACCCCTACTACTGGATACTCTTCTGAAGGGATGAGGAGGGGTTGAGCTGGGCCTGCAGGTTGGGCAGGTCCCTCAGACCCTTCCCACTATGGGATAGGGGTGTGGCCATGGGTCTCTGAGACCCCTTCCCACCAGATGCCAGGGTGCCAGGAGAACTGGTGGCCACAGGGGGCGTGGGTCTCTCAGACCCCTTCCACCGGATACTGCCTTTATGGGGGGAGGGTGGGCAGAGTGGGGAGGGCTGTTAAGGGGGGCTGGTGGCCTCTGAGGCTCCATCCCACCTGAGGCTTCAAATTTGGAGAACAATGATCTCAGAGATCAGATCTCTAAGACTCCTCCCACCTGAGCTGGGCCACGACTGGGTAGCTGGGCTCAGAGGTAGAGGGAGGGGTGAGGGGGAAAGGTCTCCCAGCACCAAGAGGCCACCATCCTGGTCCCGAGCTCACACCCTGGCCCCACCCTCAGGCTGGCGCCTGGAAGTCCTGGAGCCCCCGCGGGATGCGGCCGTGGGGGCAGGAAGGCAGGCCCACTTCAGCTGCACTCTCAGCGAGGTGGTGCCCGTGGGCGAGGCAACCTGGTACATCAACGGGACTGCAGTGCAGCCTGACGACGTGGACTGGATGGTGACCGCAGATGGCAGCCACCACACGCTGCTGCTGCGCCGAGCCCGGCCGCACCACGCCGGCGAAGTCACCTTTGCTGCCCGCGATGCCGTGGCCTCTGCGCAGCTCACCGTGCTGGGTGGGTGGCTTGGGTGCTGGACTCTCTCATGGGTGGGTAGGGGCGGAGGTTCCAGCTCCAGAAGCTACTGCAGGCTCTCCGTGTCCCCCCACCCAGGCACACAACCCTCGCTCCTGGAGACAGGAGCCCAGGCACCTGTCTGCTCACAGGCCTGGGGGGTGATCTGTCCGAGCCCTCACTGCACCCCAGAATCAGACCCTAGGGCAGAGGGGCTGTGCCCCATATGAGAAAATGGATACCAAATTGACCGCCCTCCCCTGCAGGCCTCCCGGATCCCCCGGAGGATGCCGAGGTCGTGGGGCGCAGTGACCACTCCGTGACGCTGTCTTGGGTGGCCCCAACAAGCGATGGCGGTGGCGGTCTCTGTGGCTACCGGGTGGAGATGAAACCATCGGCCACTGGGGAGTGGCAGCTGTGCCACGAACTGGTGTCCGAGCCGGAGTGCGTTGTGGATGGCCTGGCCCCTGGGGAGACCTACCGCTTCCGCGTGGCGGCTGTGGGCCCTGCAGGCGCCGGAGAGCCCGTGCACCTGCCCCAGACAGTGAGGCTCGGTAGGTTGCTGCCCTGGTCCTGGCGGATAAGGGTGGGGGGTCCAGCCTGGAGCACTTGGCCACCTTAAGCCAGAAGAAGGTCGGCATGTCCTTACTGATGCGCGCATCCTCAGCAGAGCCCCTGGGACCTGCGCCCGCGCCCCTAGCTCTGGAGTGCCGGCAGGTGGCGGCCGGCCAGGATTTGCGTCTGGATTGTGAGGTGGTGGAGGCTGGAGAGGTTGTCTGGCTGAAGGGAACGGAGCGCATCCAGCCTGGGGGGCGCTTCCAGGTTCTTTGCCAGAGTGGGCGACAGACGCTGGTGATTCGGGACTTCTCAGCAGAGGACCAGGGCGAGTACCGCTGCAGCCCTGCCAGGGATCCCATCTCTGCTGCTGCCGTGGCCTTCCAGGGTGCGTCCTCCAGGGCCCAGCATGCGGGAGTGGAGGAGTTGGGGGAAACCCTGGGGTGGGGGGGACTCCCACAGCAAGGGGTCCACTTGGGGAGTTTGCCTCACACCAAGAGAAACTGAGGCTTGCTGGGGAGACGCACAGACCCTGCATGGCTCAGTCTTATGTCCGAGCCCATATCTCTAGCGTCTTAGGTTGCACCCCCTCCCTGAATGTGATCCTGGCCATCACAGTGCTTGATACCTACTGCTGGTCCCTTAAGTCCTCAGGCTTCTGTGCTCTGAGTCCCCCTGCACTGTGTCTCCTCCCCACTGCATGTGAACCTCCCCATGACCTCTGAGCATCACCCCCCTCACTCTGAGGACTGAGGCCTGAGCAGGGGAAGTTGAGGCCCAAGGAAAGTGGTTTGGAGCCTCTGAAACCTTGTAAAGGCTGTGCGATCAGAGCTCTCCAGAAGCCCAGATGGACAGCAGAGGCCTATTGAGGGGAACCACAGTCGGCAGCCCAGTTCCCACCTGGCTGACCAGTCTCCTGCTGTCCACAGTGGTGCTGACACCAGGATCCAGAGATGAGGTCCCTGCACAGCCCAGCCTGCCTCCTGAGGCGGCCCAGGAGGGTGACCTGCACCTGCTGTGGGAGGCCCTGGCTCGAAAGCGCCGCATGAGCCGCGAGCCCACACTGGACTCCATCAGCGAGCTGCCTGAGGAGGATGGGCGCCTGCAGCGCCAGCGCCAGCGGCAGGAGGCAGAGGACCTGGCCCCTGACCTATCTGAGGACTACTCCACAGCTGATGAACTGGCACGTACTGGTGAGGCCGACCTCTCACACACCAGCTCTGACGACGAGTCCCGAGCAGGCACTCCTTCCCTGGTCACCTATCTCAAGAAGGCTGGGAAGCCTGGCACCTCTCCACTGGCCAGTAAGGTGAGCCTCCATCGTGGCCTGCAAGGGAGGCTTGGGTGTCTCAGATCTTTACCACTCATTGTCCATCCACGCATCATCTTATTCACCCATTCACCATCCACCAACCCATCCATTCAGTAAGCCTTTGTTCATCCATCTGTCATCATCCATTTATCCATCCAACAGCCATCCACTTATCCATTCATGCATCTACCACCACCAACCCATCCATCCATGCACCTCCATTTATCACCATCTATCCACACATTTCACCCATCTGCCCACCCATCCACCATTCAACCATCCATCCATTTACTCGCTGTCCATAGGTCTATACCACCCATTTATCCATCCATCCATCCATCTGCCATCCACTTAACCACTTATCTATCCAAGGTAGTGCAGCTGCCAGCAGCGGAGGCAGAGTGGCCTGCTGGCGCTGGGATCAGACCGGGTTCTGCCTCCTGCCTACCCCGGAGGCCCCTGCCCATCCTTTCCCTGACCCAGGCCTTGGTTTTCCTACCCTATCTGTGCACACAGGTTGGGGCTCCAGCAGTCCCTTCTGGAAAGCTGCAGAAGCAACAGAAACAGCCAACCACAGTGTGCCCGCCACCAGGAGACCTGAGTATTGAGGACCTCAGTGACCCATCTCTGGACAAGGCAGCCATGAAGATCCAGGCTGCCTTCAAGGGTTACAAGGTGCGGAAGGAGATGAGGCAGCAGGAGGGGCCCGTGTTCCGGAGCACATTTGGAGACACTGAGGCACAGGTTGGGGACACCTTACGTCTAGAGTGTGTGGTGTCCAGCAAGGCAGACGTGCAAGCTCGTTGGCTGAAGGATGGAGTGGAGCTGACGGATGGCAGGCACCACCACATTGACCAGCTCAAGGATGGCACCTGTTCTCTGCTGGTCGCTGGCGTGGGCCATGCGGATGCGGGCTGCTACACCTGCCAGGTGAGCAGCAAGTTTGGCTGTACGGTCCACAGTGCCCACGTGGCTGTCAGCGGGACAGAGAGCGAGGCTGAGAGCTCCTCTGGTGGAGAAGTGGATGACGCCTTCCGCCGGGCAGCCCGGCGGCTGCACCGCCTCTTCCGCACCAAGGGCCCAGCTGAGGTTTCGGAGGAGGAGATCTTCTTGAGTGCCGATGAGGGCTCAGCGGAGCCTGAGGAGCCTGGGGACTGGCAGACGTACCGCGAAGATGAGCACTTGGTTTGCATCCGCTTTGAGGCACTGCCTGAGGCCCGTCGGGCGGCCACCCACTTCCAGGAGATGTTCAAGATGCTAGGCATTGGGGTGGACATCAGCCTGTTGGAGCAGGGACCCCGGGGGGTGGAGATACGCATCGCCAAGGTGGCCCTTGCCCCCGCAGTGCCTTTGGAGCCAGTGCCCAGCTTGCGCACCACAGAGGCTGGTGAGTCTGTGAGCCACCCGGAGTGGGATGGGGCGGGAGAGGAGAGGAGAGGAGAGGCTGGTGCATGACCAGGGTCAGCTGAGAGGTCAAGGAGTTGGCTGGGTCCCAGCTTCTGGCTCTTGGCAGATGCTGCCCACTGAGGTTGGCAGAGCCCAAGTTTGTGGTGGATGGAGCTCCAGCTCCACCCAGTTCTGCCTGTTATTGTCAGAGCTTCAGCGTTCTCATTTGTGCACTGGCTATGGGAATGCTGACATTTGTTTGTTTTTTTCTCCATGAGGGTTTGAGATGCAACCTGTATAAAAGGTGGGGCTCCATGTGGTCTGGTCTGCACCCCATTTCCTGCTCCAGCAACAAAAATTAATTAAAAAGCCACATCACTGTTTACTTGTATGTCCCTAGAAATGGCAGAAGAGGTGTCCTTAACCCACAGTGTTGTGCCTTGAAAATTTCCCTCTCCATTCTGAGCGCCAGGCCTCAACCCTGGACTCCCAGCCATAATGCCTTCGTCCTCCCTCCACTTCCCCTCCTCCATGCCTCCTGTCTGCTGTCCCTCTGGCCACAGGGTGGCTTGGGAGCCAGGCTGACAAAGGGAGGACTCCCCTAGAGCTGTGGTCGGCAAACTACGGCTCGCGAGCCACATGCGGCTCTTTGGCCCCTTGAGTGCGGCTCTTCCTAAGCCTTAGGAGTACCCTAATTAAGTTAATAACAATGTACCTACCTATATAGTTTAAGTTTAAAAAATTTGGCTCTCGAGAGAAATTTCAATTGTTGTACTGTTGAAATTTGGTTGTTGACAAATGAGTTTGCCGACCACTGGTCTAGAGAATGGGGAGGAGGGAAGAGCTCAGAGAGCAGAGACAGTGCTGTTTAGCCGCTTAGTCTTTGCGCGCTCTCCCTTGAATGGGGGCCTTGTGGGTCACCCGTGTGCACCGCTGCAGCCCAGGTGATTGGGCACGGGGGCTGCTACTAACTTGCACACCCTACCTGTCCCTCCCAGCCCCAGTGTTCCTGACTGAGTTGCAGAATCAGGAGGTGCTGGACGGGTACCCTGTGAGCTTCGACTGTGTGGTGACAGGCCAGCCCGTGCCCAGTGTGCGCTGGTTCAAAGATGGGAGGATCCTGGAGGAGGATGACCACTACATGATCAGTGATGACCAACAGGGCGGCCACCAGCTCATCATCACAGCTGTGGTGCCTGCAGACATGGGTGTCTACCGCTGCCTGGCTGAGAACAGCATGGGTGTGTCCTCCACCAAGGCTGAGCTCCGAGTGGACTGTGAGTGTGGCTGGCCTGCTTTGCTGGCCTAGGGTGGGTGGCTCAGGGGTTCCTGGCTGGGAGGGGCAGTGCTGGGTTGGATGATGTCTTGTAGCTGATGGAGAGCTCTCTGGGAGCCTCTTGGAGTAGGGATAGGGGCCTTAACTCTTTGAGAAGTGTCAGGGCTGAGGAGGGACCCAGAAAGGCTTGGAGGTGTCCTGGGGCATGGTGGGTGACTAATGGCACTGTGGGCAATAAGAAATATGTACTAGGTCTCATCCCTGGTTCCTGCTCAGAGCTCTTAAATCTCTTAAAATTCCGAAGTGACAAGTCACTAAAGCAGTGACTCCTGGAGGGCCTCTAGATGGCTTCAGGATGGAGGATGGTCATAGAAAAGACCACATCATGGACCCTATAAATATGTCTAACTGATTTTTTAAAAATATATTTTTATTATTATTTCAGAGAGGAAGAGAGATAGAAACATCAATATTGAGAATCATTGGTCAGCTGCCTCCTACACATCCCCTGCTGGGGATGGAGGCTACAACCTGAGCATGTGTCCTGACCGGAAGTCGTACTGAGACCTCCTGGTTCATAGGTCAATGCTCAACTGCTGAGCCACGCCAGCTGGACATGTCTAACCGATTTTTGACAAAAGTGCAAAAGCAGTTGAGTGGAGTAAAGTTTCAAAGATGGTGCTGGAGTTATTTGGACATTTATAAGAAAAAAAAAGAACTTAGACCATATATGAAAATTAACTCAAAATGGATTACATGCGTAATGTGAATATAAAACTTTAGAAAAACAATAGGAGGAAATCTTCAGTACCTAGAGCTAGGAAAGATCTTTGTATACTTGACTGGCAAAAGAAAAAATTAGTAAAATGGACTTCATCAGAGTTAAAATCTTTTGCTGGTGTGGAGCAATGAAGTATTTCTTAAAAATTGATTTTAGAGAGCAGAAGGGAGAGAGAGAGACAGAGAAACATTGATGTGAGAAATATTAATTGCTTGGTTGCCTCCTTTATGCACCCCCATTGGGGATCAAACCCACAACCTGGGTATGTGCCCTGACCAGGAATTGCAGCTGCCACCTTATAGTGTATGGGAAAATGCTCTAACCAAATGAGTCACACTGGCCAGGGAGAGAGAATGAAATTCTACAGGCTGAGAGAAAATATCCACAAACCATGTATTTTGTGAAGGACTTTATCTAAACTATATAAAGAATGCTCAACTTTAAATAGTAAAAAAATGCTTAAAAATCTAATTAGAACAGGAGCATGTGCAGACATTTCAGGGGAAAGGACAGAGATGACAAATAAATGTGTCGAAGGTCTTCCACACATTATCCAACAGGAAAATGCAAGCCAGGACCCTAGCAAAACATCCCTGCACACAATGGAATGACTAACATAAAAACTGTGCTGCCACCACATGCAGGTGAGGGGCCAGAGAAATGGGACCCTTGTACACTGCTGGTGGGTGTCAGTGTAAGAAACATTCAAACCTGTACAGAATTTTTGTGAGTATTTGAACCAAACTGCCAGGATTTCAACAGATTGAGATAATGCTCCAGAGAATGGCAGTTTTACACGTTATTTTATACATTATAATCAAAAGAGACGTAAATAGGTTACATGAAATTCATTGGTGATAGATTAGGGAGAAGGGAGAAAGCAAGAGGGGGACCTCTGGGATTGGATACCAAGTAAAATGATAGACATATACATCTTTTAGGTAGGTGGGTACTGGGTAGTTATAGTCAACAATTAACATGATAAAAGCAACACTGAGAGGATTTGTAGTCTCTGCTCTGGTGCATTGGTTGTGCCCTGAGGGGCCCAGAAAAAAGAGGAGTTACCCTGACATTCCAAAGGTATGTTATCGTAGATGCAAAGGACAATAGACAGGCTCAGTCAAGGTAAGATTGACTTTTGTGAGGGAAGATCCTAGCCTAGGACATGATTACCCACCATAAACTGCTTTTAGTTTAAAAGTTTTAATTTCAGACCATCCTTTGTGGTTACTTTAGGTCTTTGATTTTGCAAGATCGTCACACCTTCCCTGAGCTTGTCAGGTAGCATGTAGCACCTTTTCGTCCACATGGGAGTGGAAAATGGTGCAGCTACTCTGGATCATGGTAGGGAATTTTTTATAAAATGAATCATGTACTTACCATATGACCCAACCATCATTTTGTTGGGTGTTTATTCAAGAAATGAAAACTCAAATTCATAACACAATCTATACCCAAATGCTCATAGTAGCTTTATTTCTAACTAGAGGCCTGGTGCACAAAAATTTGTGCACTTGGGAGGGTCCCTCACCCCAGCCTGTGCCCTCTCACAGTCTGGGACCCCTCGGGGAATGACCACCTGCTGGCTTAGGCCCACTCCCCGGGGGACTGGGCCTAAGCTGGCAGTCAGATATCTCTCTGGCAGCCCAGGAGCCTTCGGGGGATGTTCACTTGCCAGCGGGGAGCAGGCCTAGCTGCAGTCGAGCATCCTTAGCATTGCTGAGGAGGCGGGAGAGGCTCCCTCCATCACCGCTGTACTGGCAGCTGTCAGCCTGGCTTGTGGCTGAGCAGAGCTCCCCCTGTGGGAGCACACTGACCACCAGGGTGCAGCTCCTTCATTGAACATCTGCCCCCTGGTGGTCAGTGTGTGTCATAGTGACCAGTGATTCCCAATCGCTCTGCTGTTAGGGTTAATTTGCATATTACCTTTTTATTATATAGGATAGAGGCCTGGTGCATGGGTGGAGACCAGCTGGTTTGCCTTGAAGGGTGTCCCGGACCAGGGTGGGGGTCACACTGGGGTGCCTGGACAGCCTGGGTGAGGGGATGAGGGCCGTTTTCAGACTGGCCACACCCCCTTCAGGGAGCAGGGTCCTGCTAGGGTGCCTGTCCATCCTGGGTGAGGGGCTGATGGCTGTTTGCAGGCTGGCCACAGCCCCTTCAGGGTAGGGGTCCCCACTAGGGTGCCTGGCCAGGACGGGTGAGTGGCTGATGGCTGTTTGCTGGCTGGCCACAGCCCCTTCAGGGTGGGGGATCCCACTGGGGTGCCTGGCCAGCCTGGGTGAGGGGCTGAGGCTGTTTTCAGGCTGGCCACACCCCCTTCAGGTTGGAGGGTCCCTGAGGGAGGGATCCCTCTGTGTAGCTGCTTCTTCTCTGGTTTTCTGTCCTGTGACTCCAGCTGCCTTCTGTCTCCTCAACTCAGGGCCTGCCTGGCTCTGCCTCAGCTTCCTCTTCTGGGCCTGAAGGCAGGAAGCTGGGGCAATCACAGGGCTCACCATTGTTTCCTGTCTATAAGGGCTCAGTGTCCTTGCTTAATGCTCATTGTCTTGAAACCATTCTGATGATTCTGTACCCAATTCCAAAGTGTGTGGGCTTTCTCTACAGCAAGCAATTCTCGCACACCAGCTTGGTGTTCTATAATTTAACTCAGTTTGACATTATCTACTTGAAGATAGCGTCAGACCCCACAGGTTAAGGGCTCAGGACCACAAGAGTGAAAGGGTTCAGAAGCCAATGGTAAATCCAAGTTGTCACCTGTGCTTCTTTGTATCAGAGGTTCTCACAGCCATCTCCTCGGGTTCCATTAATTTGCTAGAGTGGCTCACAGAACTCAGAGAAACATTTACTTATGAGGTCACTGTCTTAATGTAAAAATTATAACTCAGGAACAACCAGGTGAAAGAGATGCACAGGACAGGGTATGGGGAAGGGGGAGGGGCTTGCATGCTCTCTGAGTCCAGCACTCTCCCTGCAGCTCCACATGCCCACCAACTGGGAAACTCTCCAAATTCCCATCCTTTTGGGTGTTCCTGGAGGCACCATCACACAGGCACAATTGATTCAACCTCCAGCCCCTCTACCTTACCTCGAGGGACTGAAGCTTTCAACCCCCTAATCACATGGTTGCTTGTCCTGGCAACCAGCCCTGTCTAAGGAGCTTTCCAAAAGTCACATCCTATATAATAAAAGAGAAACATGCAAATTAACCATCCCTCTGCTATGCTCAAGCCATGCCCACCAGCCACACCCACCAGCCAATCAGGAACAAGTATGCAAATTAACCCAACTAAGATGGCGGCAGCCACGGAGCTGGAGCGAGCAGAAGGCTTGGGTTGCCTCCGGTGATGGAGGAAGCCAAGCTTCCTGCCTGCCCTGGCCGGCCCTGGGCTCTGCTCAAGGCTACAAAGTTTCAATTATAGAAGATAAATAAATCCCAGGAAAAAAAGGAAAAAGAAAAAAAGAAGAGGCTGGGAGCTTGGGTCACCAGGGGGCATGGCCAGCCTGAAAACGGCCATCAGCCCCTCACCCAGCTGGCCAGGCACCCCAGCGGGACCTCCACCCTGATCCAGGACACCCTTCAGGGCAAACCAGCCGACCCCCACCCGTGCACCAGGCCTCTATCCTATATAATAAAAGGGTAATGTGCAAATTGACCCTAACAGCAGAACGATTGGTCACTATGACACACACTGACCACCAGCGGGCAGACGCTCAATGAAGGAGCTGCGCCCTGGTGGTCAGTGCGCTCCCACAGGGGGAACTCTGCTCAGCCACAAGCCAGGCTGACGGCTACCAGCACAGCGGTGGTGGCAGGAGCCTCTCCTGCCGCCTCAGCAATGCTAAGGATGTCCGACTGCAACTTAGGCCTGCTCCCCACTGGCAAGTGGACATCCCCCAAGGACTCCTAGGCTGCCAGAGGGATGTCTGACTGCCAGCTTAGGCCCGATCCCCCGGGGAGTGGGACTAAGCCAGCAGGTGGACATCCCCCGAGGGGTCCCAGTCTGTGAGAGGGCACAGGTCGGGCTGAGGGACCCCCCACAAGTGCACAAATTTTTGTGCACCGGGCCTCTACTTATTAACATAAACTCAGGTGTGCATACTTTGTTTCACGTATTTTGTTTGTTTTAATTGTTTCACCTGGAGGGTGTCTTAGTTCATGCTGCTCTAACAAAGCACTGAAGACAGGGTGGCTTATGAACAACAGAAATGTATTTCTGGGTTTTGGAGGCTGAAAGTCCAAGGGCCGGTGCCAGCACCATTGGATTCTTCTGAGTCATAGATGGCCCTCCTGGCTGTGTCCTCACACGGTGGAAGGAGTGCTGTGGGGTCCCTTTCATAAGGACACTAACCTCATTTCTAATGGCCCCACCCTCATGATCTTGTCATCCCCCAAAGGTCCCACATCCGAATGCTATCACCTTGGAGGTTAGGCTTTAGCATATGAATTTGGGGGCCACACCAACATCCTGTCCATAGCAGAGAGCAGATCCAGTCCCTGTTACACCATCATGACTATAAGTGGAAGCCCTCAGCTGAGGCCCAAATACACCAATCTCTGCCCCTTAGCGGGATGGAATTGGAAGATGTTGCCACTTACCCTGCCTTCCATTTGTGAAGCTCAGTCACCCATATCTATAATTTGTTGGGTCTTGTAGTTAGTTATAGGCCTAGAACTTGGGCTGGTAACAGCCTGGGAGTGGGGAGGGGCCACAGGGCAGCTGTGTCCCTATGACCTCTGACTCAGGAGGGTAAGTGGCTCCAGGAACAGCTGTGCAGGGAGAACCAGGTGCCTCTGGGGTGGGGCTGTGCCCGGACGGAGGGAATGCAGCCTGGCTCCAGCTTCACTCTTCGTCCCCAGTGACCAGCACTGACTATGACACTGCCGCGGATGCCACCGAGACCTCGTCCTACTTCAGCGCCCAAGGCTACCAGTCCAGGTGGGGGCCGCACAGGGGCGGTAGTGCCCAGCAGGCTGGCAGTCCCCAGCCCTGGCATGGGGGTGGCCGTGCTGGCTTGGACCGACAGAATCCCAGTCCTGGAGGCTTCATCAAGGCCACGTGGTCTCTGTCCAGCATGTTAACAAAAGACCTCAGAAGTCATCCAGACTGACCCCACTCCCCTTGCGCTGGACCCCTCACCCATCCACATCATGCTGCCCCTTTCTGTTCCCTGCCAGTCGAGAGCAGGAGGGTGTAGAGTCTACGTCAGAAGAGGGACAATTGCCCCAGGTGGTGGAGGAGCTGAAAGACCTCCAGGTGGCCCCTGGCACACGCCTGGCCAAGTTCCAACTCAAGGTGAAAGGTGAGGGAGATAGGGCCGGAGGGCTGGGTGGGGTCTCCCACCAGTAGAAGTTAGGTGGTCACTGTGGCCTGGGGGGTCTCCAGGGATCCCCTCAAGTGGAGGATCCCCCCATCAGCCCCCAGCACCCACCACTACTCTCCCTGTGGTTTCAGGCTACCCGGTGCCCCGCCTGTACTGGTTCAAAGATGGGCAGCCCCTGACTGCTTCTGCGCACATTCGCATGGTGAACAAGAAGGCACTGCACAGCCTGGAGATCCTGTCGGTTACCAGTGAGGATGCCGGCCAGTACTCTGCCTATGTCAGCAACACTGTGGGTGCCGCTTACTCCTCTGCCCAGTTACTGGTCCAAGGTGGGTGCTGGGGGCTGATGTCCGCCGGTGTGACCCCCATGGCAGGCCTGGGGTTGGGCCCACGGTCTTCACGCAGGTGCAGAGGTGTGGTGGGAGGGCAGACACCTGCCTGCCTACATTCCAGAAGGTGCTGGGTGTGGGAGTGGGAGGGTTCCTCAGAGCCCTCACCCTTGGAGCAGGCCCCGGGCCCACGCAGGACACACTGTCCTACTTCAGGTCTGACTTACCTGCCTCTTTCAGGCCCTAATGACCCAGAAAAGAAGCCGGCAGCAGGTGAGCCGAGTCCAGATGGAGGGAGGGCAGGAGGCTCAGTGAGGGTGGTGGGGGGATGCCCATTGGGTGGAGGGAGGGAGGAACCCTGGGCACAGGCTCCAGGGACAACCACTCAGGTGGGTGGGGGCTTGGGCCTGGGAGGAGGGGCATAGCCTACCCATCACAGGGCTGTGGCTCTCCACTTGTCACCAGCAGCCTCTTGTGTCTCCCCAGATGTGCAGCAACAGCTGGTGCCACCCCGATTCCTGGAGAAGTTCACCTCTAAGAAGGTGAAGAAGGGCTCCAGCATTACTTTATCCGTGAAGGTCAAAGGTAGGGCATCCTGTCCTCCCTCACTCAGGATCCCCAGAGAGGATCAGAGGCACCGCCCTTCTAGAATCTCTTCTCAATGGGGGCTGACTGTCCATCATCCACTCCTGCCCAGGTCTCCCCACCCCCACTGTGCACTGGCTGCGGGAGGAGGCCGAGCAGGTGCTGTGGATTGGCCAGGACACCCCGGGCTACACGGTGGCCAGCTCAGCCCAGCAGCACAGCCTGGTCCTGCTGGACGTGGGCCCACAGCACCAGGGCACCTACACCTGCATCGCATCCAACGCTGCTGGCCAGGCCCTCTGCTCCGCCAGCCTGCATGTCTCTGGCTGTGAGTGGGCGTGGGTGGCCTGTTGGGGATGGGAGGGAGCCACCCTCCCTGAGGACTGTCACCCCCTCTCTGAGACCCTGCCTAGACTCCTCCCTGAGCACAGGCCCCAGGGGCCAGCTCCCATCCCTGCCTGTGGGCTTACACCAGCAGGCCAAGACCTATAGCAGCCCCTGCTACTCCAAGCAATCTCTTCCTGGCCCCCTCAGCCCTTCTGTGGGCAGGTCCATCAAGTGTGGACCCATTCCTGTCCCCACCACTGGGGGGGCGAGGGGGTGTGGGCTACATTGGGATGCCGGGCACAGCCTTTCCTTGGGGCTCTGGATGGACAGGCCAAGGCCCTACGTAGGGGTGGCCCACACATCCCAGGCAGAGGTCCCCACCAGAATCATCTCAGCGGGTGGGGGTCATTCTGGCAGTCACCTGTTCTTCTGACAGTGCCCAAGGAGGCAGGATCAGTGGGAGAGACCGCTGCGGTGAAGGAGGCCCTCATCTCCACCTTTCTTCAGGGGTGAGTGAGGGCTCCGTCAGAGCTGATGGGGGTGGCTTGGAGTTCTAGAAGCCCTGGGAGGGGGCAGCACTGCTGCCAGGGAGGGAGCCCTATCCTGGACCGCAGCCTGACTCTGTCCCTTGCAAGCTGTGTGGCTTGGGCCAGCCCCTACCCCCCCCCCAAAAAAAAACAACAACAACAACTCTGTGCCTCAGTTTCCCCATTGTGAAATGAGGGCTCCCCCGAGCCTGACTGTGGCATCTGGCCCACTGCCCTCAGACTCTTTCTGTCAGAGCTCCCACCCAAGGGTATGTGTGGTGGGTCCACCCCAAGCCCTCAAGATACCCCCACCCCCTTTAGGACCAAAGCCATCTCCGAACAGATGCCTGTGGATTTCACCAACCTTGCTGGGCAGAAAGGTATGGGAGGTGCCCATGGCTGATTCCTAATTTGGGATGGGGTGTGGAGGAGGCTGCCTGGCCCCAGGTGTGGGCCCGATTCTGAGCTCTGGGCCCTGCCAGCTCTTGGCTCAGCTCTCATAGCCAGAGGCTGTGTGGATGCCCAGATGCAGGGGGCTGCTGAGTCAGAGCTTGGGTGAGGGGCTCCGTATGTTCAGCCCTTTCCCAGGCAACTGCATAGGGCATTCTGGAAACTTGGCATGTTTTTACCTTCTTTATGGAAAATACTGAGTCTGCACAGAAGAGAGGACAGAGCCGTGTGCCCATCACCCAATTTAGGGTCACTTCTTGGATGATCTACAGCTACTGACTTTACCTGCCCTCCGCCCGCCCTCCCCCCCCACCACCAGCAGCCCTCATCCACCCTTAACCCCAGCCACCGAAGTTTGCCCCGGTCCCTCAGGCCAGCAATCTGGGTCCTGCCCCCTGCCTTCAGTGTCCAGGTCCCGCCCTCCTCTCCTGCAGCCTGGCTGAGCTCCCTGTGCCCCCTGCCCCTCCTGCACCCCTTCCTAGATCAGCTGCCAAGTTGGAACCCCAATGGAGAAACCACAAACCCATTGGGGGCTCCAGTGTCTTCAAACCCCCACCCCCACCCCCCCGCACCGGCCTCTACCCAGCTTGACCCTCAGCTGCCTTGCCCAGTGCCCTGCAGCCACGCTGGCTGCCTGTTCTCCTGACCGCCCACCGCCCTCTCCTGGACCCTGTTTCTCTGCATTTGTAGCCCCTCCATCACACCTTGGCCCAGACACCTGTGAGCCATTGAGGCCCCTTATCCTTGTCAGCTTCTCTGCTTCTGGCAACATAGCCCCGAGCCTGTGTACCCATCTCCCCTGAGCCCCGAGTCAGGATGGGCCTGCAGGGGCTGCTTGGGCTTGTCTGGAGTGTACACTGGCTCAGCTAGGGTCTGACCACCAGGAGAGCCCCTGGCAGCCGAGGCCCATGGCCACCTGACCCTGGCTGAGGTGGGCACGGAGGAGTTCCTGCAGAAGCTGACCTCACAAATCACGGAGATGGTGTCGGCCAAGATCACCCAGGGTGAGGGGCTGGCATGGATCAAGGTCCTAGGTGGAGGGTTGTGGGGGTGGTGACCCAGGGCCAGAGTCCTCCACACCCACACCCTGGAGACCCATAGGGAGGGGCACAGGGCACTGGCCCTTCCCAGTGTCACATGCCCTTTGCCCCCAGCCAAGCTGCAGGTGCCTGGAGGTGACAGTGACGAGGAGTCCAAGACACCGTCCGCATCTCCCCGTCATGGCCGCTCTCGCCCCTCCTCCAGCGTCCAGGAGTCATCCTCGGAGTCGGAAGACGGGGACTCCCGGGGGGAGGTGCTGGGGGCCCCGGGGGATAATGGGGCCCACGGAGGGGAACAGGAGTGAGGGTGGGAGAGGGAACGGGTGGGGGCCTTCGGGTGACAGGGTGGAGGAGGCTGAGGACAAACAGCTGAGCAGGACCCAGGACATCCCAGCACCCCTGAGGCTCCCTTGCCCCTCTGGGGTGGCCCCATCCGGCACCCCTGATAGTGTTTCCATCAGCAGAGGTCAGTGGGGCCTGTTTGAGAACGTCACAGAATGTTAGGATGGCTTCTTCCTCCCACTTAAGGCCAGGGGCCCTGTGACCTTGGCCTTGGGAAGCCCCACTGGCTCCCCTCTGGTCTGATGCAGCTCCCTCCTCCCCAGATCTTTGACATCTACGTGGTCACTGCTGACTACCTGCCCCTAGGGGCTGAGCAGGACGCCATCTCGCTGCGGGAGGGCCAGTATGTAGAGGTGCTGGACTCGGCCCACCCTCTGCGCTGGCTTGTGCGCACCAAGCCCACCAAGTCCAGCCCCTCAAGACAGGGCTGGGTGTCCCCTGCCTATCTGGACAAGCGGCTCAAGGTACCTGGACTGCCCAGGGAGGGGGGTAGGTGAGTTCGGGAACCTGACACCCACAGGGCCAGCCCAGCGCCCAGGCCACCTACAACCCTCTCTGTTCCTCATCAGCTGTCGCCTGAGTGGGGGCCCGCTGAGGCCCCCGAGTTCCCCAAGGAGGCCGTGTCTGAGGATGAGTACAAGATGAGGTTGAGGTGAGGAACCATGGTGGGGGGGTCTTTGGCTGACGAAGTCGGGTGGTGGAGCAACCTTGTGGGGCTGCCCCCTCCACTGTCTTGCTGGTGCCTATGTAGCATTTGAGCTCTTGGTCCCCTCACACTGTGCCTCCAGCTCCATCGTCCAGGAGCTGCTGGCCTCTGAGCAGGCCTTTGTGGGCAAGCTGCAGTTTCTGCAGAGCCACCACATGCAGCACCTGGACCACTGCCCCCACGTGCCAGCGGCGGTGGCCAGCCAGAAGGCCGTCATCTTCCGCAACGTGCCGGACCTCAGCCAGTTCCACAACAGGTAGGCGGGCCTGTGTGTGCATACACATGTACACACATGCAGACATACCACGCACACACACATACACGTGCACATGTACCCTCTGGGTTGGGCCTCCCGGGGTTAGCAGGAGCCAAGACAGACGAGAGAGAAACTGTGTGCACTTGATGTACTTGTTGGAACACCACACCCTTGTACGAAGATACACACATCCTCTGGAACATAGGTGTGTGCACCTGCTTACCCATGGAAGTGCTTGCAGCATTCCTACCTGCTATAGTCTCTGTACATAGGCACACATGCCATTACATGCATAGGAATGGGTTACATGGGCACATGTGTGTACATGTACACAGCCACACAACATATACAGCAGACAATTCACATGTACTACATATGTGTATCTGTTTGCTTATGCACACATGCCTACTCATACATGCCCTGGTGTACATGCACTTCTTCTATGTGTGCGCACACACATACCTGCACACATGTGCACACGCTGAAAAACCATACACGCACGTCCTCACAGCCCAGCCTGTTCCCAGGAGCCACCAGGACTCTGCCCTGGCAGGAGCCTGTTTCCTCCCAGACCTGGGACAGGCTGGGCAGGGGTGGTAAGCAGGGTCCTGATGCTGTCTCCTCCATGGCAGCTTCCTGCAGGAGCTGCAGAGCTGCCAGACAGATGACGACGTGGCCATGTGTTTCCTCAAGAACCAGGCGGCCTTTGAGAAGTACCTGGAGTTCCTGGTGGGCCGAGTGCAGGCCGAGTCGGTGGTGGTCAGCACGGCTGTGCAGGAGTTCTACAAGGTGCCCCTGTCCCCGGCCAGTGCTGGCCCCCGTCTCCAAGATCATCTTCCCTGACCCTGCCCGGCCTCCCACCACCTGCCAGGGCCCCCACAGCCTGCCCAGGTCCTGGGGCCCTGGCTTAGTGAGTAAGGCAGGCAGAGCCCCTGCAGCTCTTCTCACCTGTCAGCGATTGGCCGTCACTGTTGGGGGGTGGGAGGTGAGGCCCACCCAGAGAGGAGGGTCTATGTGCCTGCTCTGGGTGACGTGGACCACCCGGGCCTTGCCCTCCTGCCCTGAAACCCACTCTGCGGTTCCCACAGAAATACTCGGAAGAGGTGCTGTCGGCCATTGACCCCTCGCAGCCGCCCCCACCGCCGCTGCAGCACTTCCTGGAGCAGCCGGTGCAGCGGGTGCAGCAGTACCAGGCTCTGCTCAAGGTAGGCAGCTGGTCCCTCGCCCACACCACCGTGTCCTGGGCCCGCGTGGCGGGTGCACCCTGACCAGGCCTCTCTCCAGGAGTTGATCCGCAACAAGGCGCGGAACCGGCAGAACTGCGCACTGCTGGAGCAGGCCTACGCGGTGGTGTCGGCCCTGCCGCAGCGGGCGGAGAACCAGCTGCACGTGTCGCTCATGGAGAACTACCCAGGCACCCTGGAGGCCCTGGGCGAGCCCATTCGCCAGGTCTGCGGTGGGCGCCATGCAGAGTGGGGGTGGGGGGGCAGAGTGGAGGTCTGTGCCTTGGGCTGACCAAGGGCTGACCCCTCTCCCAGGGCCACTTCATTGTGTGGGAAGGGGCACCGGGTGCGCGGATGCCCTGGAAGGGCCACCACCGCCACGTCTTCCTGTTCCGCCACCACCTGGTGGTCTGCAAGCCCAAGAGGGACTCACACACCGACACCTTCAGCTACGTGTTCCGGAACATGATGAAGGTGTGCAGGCACCAGAGGAGCCTGGGTGCCCGGGGGGGCGGGGGGTGGAGGCAGGGGGGAGACTGCAGGGTGGGCAGGAGGAGCCCTGGGCCGGTTCTCTGGCCACCTCCCGGGCAGTCAGCCTGCCTCCTCCACCCACAGCTAAGCAGCATCGACCTGAACGAGCAGGTGGAGGGGGACGACCGTGCCTTCGAGGTGTGGCACGAGCGGGAGGACTCGGTGCGCAAGTACCTCCTGCAGGCTCGGACTGTCATCACCAAGAACGCATGGGTGAAGGAGATCTGCGGCATCCAGCAGCGCTTGGCCCTCCCCGTCTGGCGTGAGTGCTGGTCCTAGCGGTGAGGTTGGATAGGAGAGCAAACCTGCCAGCCAGGCCATCTGGCTCGGGGACACCCAGGCCCCTGCCCCTGCCTAGGCAGCACCCCCTCAATCAGTTCAGCCTGAGCTGGGATGCTGGGATGGCAATGACTCGAGTGGGGCCATCAGGTTTCACTCAGGGGCCCTCAGCATAGCATAGAAGCCCAGAGGGGTTAGGGGTGTGAAAGGTCTGATCCCTGGGTCTCCTTTCCCATCTAGAGCACACTCTCCTCTCCATACACCCCACCACTCCCCAGTACACCCAACCTGACGCTGATTCAGATTCCCATTCGGGCCCAGTGAGCGACCCAAAGGGGTGGGGATTGCAGCAACCACACTGCTCGGCCTTGGGACTTCTGACCCTACCAGGGGTGCACTGGGGGCAGGGTAAGCACTCAGCCCAGGTGTGTGATGTGTGTTCCCAGGGCCCCCGGATTTCGAGGAAGAGCTGGCCGACTGTACAGCCGAGCTGGGTGAAACAGTCAAGCTGGCCTGCCGTGTGACGGGCACACCCAAGCCCATCGTCAGCTGGTACAAAGGTAGGTCCCCGTGGGCTAAAGGTGCTGGCCTTGCCACAAGGAAGAGCTTCCCAAAAGGAATCAGGCTAGGTGGGGACCAGGACCCAGGGTAGGGCCCGGTCAGGGGCTGGGTGCCAGGGACAGGCCTCCTGCCCCTGTTGCCTGCTCCCAAATCAAAGACAGCATGGCCAGGGCGCATGAGGTGGGATGAAGGGAGAGGGTGTGCATCAACCCTGTCCATGGGAGCTGACTTTCTAGGGGAGTGGACAGGCGGCAGCAGACAGACAAAGGTGTAACGGGAAGTCAGAACAAGGCACAGCCAGGCACACCTGTTGGAGGCTTCCGAAGAGCAGTGAGGTGCCCAGGAGGCCAGGGAGAGGGGCCGCCATGGCAGAACAGTGGAAGATGTGGGCTGCCATGGGGTCTCACATTTGATTGAGTGATAGGAGCTGCAGAGAGTTCAGGGATCCCCAAAACCACCCTCACTCTGACAGCAAGGTCCAGGGTCCCACAACTCCTGTTGGGTTCAGTGATTCACTGGGGACTCACAGAACTCAGCAGAGCCCTTCCACTGAGGTTCCAGTTGATTGCTATGGAAAGGAAAGGGGTGTGGGGCGGGGCCTGGCAGGGGTGCCGGTGGGTTGGGCAGATGGTGCCTATGCTCCCAGCTCTGATGTTTGACAGCACACGGAGAGTGGCCAACTAGGGGCTCTCATCAAGCCTTGGTGCCCCAGGTTTCTGTTGGGGGTCATTCATGTTGTCACGACTGACTGCTGCATGGCTGACCTCAGTCACAGCCCCTCCAGGGGTCAAGCTGATGCTGCGTGTCCCAAAGTCCCCATACTAAACCACAATGTAGCACAGACCATTCAGAGTGGCCCAAGACCCCAGGTAAACCAGGATACTCTTGTCAGAGGTCACCTGGGCGGGCAGATAAGCTTCATCTGGGCTGGCAGGTAGGCCTCTGAGACCCTAGTTCGGTGTGAATAACCAAGTCCAGTCCTGGTTTCAAAGGAGTCATCCAGGGCTGTCAGTCCTTCTTGTCCTACTTGTCCACACCTAGCCAGGGGCATTTGTTTGCTCTTACGGGCTAAGGATGGGGCTGGAGAGGACACACAGGGGCGTTTTGCTGGGACATGCAGGAGGGGCCTCCCTGTGGCCCATGGTCAGAGCTGCATGGCAGACCTGTGGATGCAGCAGCTGGTTCCTGTGGCAGCTTAAAAGAACTTCCTGGGGTCTTCCTTCTGGAGGGAGGCCTGGGGTCCACACAGTCCCTTCCCATACACCTCGCCCTGCAGCTCAACTGCCCTTTCCAATATCCCTCCGCACCCAGACCTTTCCCCCGAAGGGCGGGCTCAGAGGGACAATGCAATTCATAAAGGTCCTCCAGAAATGACTCGGCATTCCTCGGACCCTCCTTTTGGCCAGATTGTCCTCAGGAGTATGTGCTGGCTTGCCACCTCCGAGGGGAATAGGGTGTGCCTCACTCTGCGGTCAGGGTAGAGTCCTGGGTTCTTAACTGCGCCTCTGGCTCTCTCGCCCTGGCGGTTACCCAGTGAAACCCTGGAGGGGGTGGCCCCTCTGGGGACAGCTGTGTCCAGTGAGCGCAAGCAGTGAGGGAAGCTGGACCGACGGCTCACGTTGACATGGTGGTCAAACTGCAGGTGGTACGAGCGGCGCATGCAGCCATGGGGTGTGGCCAGAGCCAGCAGTTGGCTGACCCAAAACACCATTATGATGGGAAACACCACAGATAGCTCTTGAGGCACTGACCTGCCAGGATAGGGGTCCGCTCATGTGATGTGCCCCCACCCGGACTAGAGCATTTCTCAGCAGTCCTCTGTGTGGCTGCAGGGGGGTCAGCACCCTGCGCCCATGGCAGCTCCACGCAGAACCCTGGTGCTGGGTGGGAGCCCATCAGCAGCCTTTCTTTGCTTCAGTGGCTCATGGCCCAAGGTGGGGGTGTCTTCCGCCAGGCCACTATATTTAAGTGGCAAAACAAACAGCCAAGCCACTTGCAACTCCTCAAGGTCAGTGAGCACATAACAATCTTGGCCGGGAAGAGCAGCATCGGGCAGAAGTCAGACTCACCGGCAGACAAAATGTCCTCATACAGCAGGAGCTGAGTGCTGGGGGCAGAGTGTCAACACTGCCCCACCGGGCAGCTGCCAGGGCAGAGAGCTCTGGAGATGTGTATTGGAGACCTTGCCATGAGAATGCAGAGCAGACCTGTTGCAGCCACCCTGCCTATATCAGCTGGAGCCACAGGAGTAGAGACTGGTTTGGGCTGGTGACAATCTACTCCCACTGGCTGTACAAGGCTGTTGATTTGCGACGCAGCCTCTCCTGTTACCCAGCTACCTTCGAATCACACAGGAGGCCCAGAACCTCCTTTCTCCATGGGGTTCAGAGCATCAACCTGGGAAGGGACTGATTGCTGGGCTCGGCCGGTTCCATGCTCCAAGACCCCCTCTCAATGTGCAGGCATCTCCACCAGGACTGTCCCCTCCCCAAACACAGCAAACATCAGGGTCTAGAGGTAGAGCCACAGCCACAGTCCCCTGACACTATCTTCCCGGATAATCAGGAACCTTGCGAAGACTCCACCCGTGGAATCCAAGTGCCTGTATCCGGAAGACCTTTGAAGGTCTGAATTCTCCCTCTGCCCGAGGCCCCAGCATGTAGGACAAGCATGTAGGACCAGAGAGGCTGATGCCCACTGCTGATCATTTTTCTCTTAAAGCAGTGGTGGTTGGGTGGAGGAGAGGAAGGGGCCAGGGATCAAGACACACTTCCACACTTCAGTGACATCCAGTGCTTTGGGCTCGCCCAAACCCTTACCTGGGCAGCATGACCGTCTCTGCTGATGTATCCATTTTAGCTCGGGGACCCCTTGTCTTAACAGCTGTGTCATCACTCTCTAGGGTTCCATGCCCTTCCACCCACTGGGGTTTAACTTGTATGGTAGTGACCTTTATTATGGGTTGTCCACTTACCAGGTCATCTCTAGTCTTTCTGTGATGGCTGAATGAGATTTCTGAGGCGGCAGGGCTGCCTGTCAGAACACACTCCCTGCGGGTCACTCTTCCAGCTGTCACCACATTCTAGATGCCAACCAGGTGCCACGCGCTGTGTGCCAGCCGTCAGTGGCTCCCTGTGGGGCTTCTTCTGTTCAGGTGCCTGTCCTCATAGCCAAAAATCTCACTCGTTCCTGTCCTCTGCCCATCGGGGTTGATGATGGCCCACACGGGTTGTAGCATTTGTTGATGTTTCAGAAGAAGGCTGTGCATGCAAAGCTCTCCTCTAATGCTGAAGGAGCCAAGAGACCAAAGAACGAGGCAGACCGTTCCAGCTGGTCGATTAATGAGGTTAACAGGAGACTTACATACAAAAATGCAAGACGATCAGACCTCCACGCTTTGCCTCCCAGACTGTTTTGTAGCCAGTGAGAGGGTGGGAAAGAAGTGTTAATCTAAAGGGAGGGGGACTGCCAGGTGCCGAGGGGGTCTGGCATCAGAGCTGGTTAAAGACAGACAAGTCCAGGGTGAATCACTCCAGAAGCAGAGCACAGAGTTTCCAGGGCGGGGCTGGGAGTCAAGGTGGCAGATTAGCTACATCAGGGCCAGCTCTGTCCGCACATAGGAAGCAGGGTGACCCGAGGCTGAACCAACAGCGCAAGGAGAGAGCGTGTCGACCAAGGCACCAACCAGGAATCTGTCTCTGAGCCTCCCTCTCAGCACGCAGACTGCAGCCACCTGCCCAGCTCCTCTCCATTCACAGGCAGCAGGTGGAGAGGGCTGTGACTGCCCAGCTGACCACACAGGTCGGTTGGCATGTCTACCACCAATCCCCATGGACCTCCCTCAGGCCCTGTTACTTGCCACCTTCTTTCTCTGCTGGAATGATGTGTCTCTGACTGTGTCTCTTGCTTGTCACCAAACTGAATATCAGAAGCCATGAAGGATCTAAGATGATTTCCTGCCTCCCAGCCAGACACAGACACAAAACCCAGTCACAGAAAAAAAGCACAGTGCTTTGGGTCAGTTGCCCCGATCCCCATGCCCAGGGCCAGATATTAGCTGTGCACAGTGGGTCGCACCGCAAGAGAGACCCCAAGATTTAGGAGGTGCTGAGCTTTTGTAGGGCTGCTGACACATCTGCCCGTCCATTCCCCAGAGAGAGAAATGCCTCGGGGGTCGGGGGAAGGGGAGAAGGCTCTGTTTCTGTGCCCTGGACAGCCCAGGTGACTCTGAACAAGGGCCGGAGCTGGTGTCATGTCTGCACAGCAGTGGGCCTGGTGGGATGCCAGAAAGGTCTGGAGAGCTGTTCTCTGACAGTAAGCAAGGACTGAGGAGGCACTGGATTGATGATGTCACCAGCAGCCTTGCTGAGAGCTGTTCTGTGGGAGATGGAAGTGGGGGTTGGGGCGGGGGGGATGCACGTTGGGAGATGAGAAGGAAGCACTGGAGAGAGAACAACTTTCCTGGAACATAGAACAGGGGTGGAGAGAAATGGGGTGGCGGCTGGAGGCTTTGTTTTGTATGCGTTAAAATCATTTTTTAAGGTTTCCTGTGAATTAAAGGTCAAGATTCTGGTTATGAATGGTTGTAACTTAAACCACCTTGTTTAGCACATCGGAAAGTGTTTGTTTATGGAATTTTACTTATTTATGGAGGAAAGGGTTCTTCGGAGTGAAAGGTGCACATCTCCCCATTCCTCACCCAGGAAAGAATCACATGATGGCTGGAGACATTAGGTTGGGTGGGTATTCAGACAGTGTGTCTGTTGGGGCTGGGGAGGTCTGCACCTTGGAAGTGCCTGGAGGTCACAGAATCACTGGCTAGGTGGCTCAGGGTCTGGTTATTGGAATGGGATGTCTTTTGTGGGGTTCAGGCCCCCAGCCTACCCTCCAAAGGCCACACTGTGCACACGAAAGCCTGGGGACGTATCCAGGGAGCTGCACCTGGCCCTTGTGCTTCAGGCCCGCTCCCTAACCCATCACTGCCTGTGACCATGACCCCAGGCAAGCCCCGCCTCTTGTCCCCGTGCACCTCTCTATGACGGCCTCCCTCCTTTCCAGATGGGAAGCCAGTGGAGGTGGACCCTCACCACATCCTCATTGAAGACCCTGATGGCTCATGCACCCTCATCCTGGACAATCTGACCAGCGCTGATTCCGGCCAGTACATGTGTTTTGCGGCCAGTGCTGCCGGCAATGCCAGCACCCTGGGCAAGATCCTGGTGCAGGGTGAGCCTGGGAGGGAGGCTGGATGGGCCCCGGACACACCCACCACAGCAGTCCCCAAGGCGGTGCAGGCATTCGGATGGAGCTGGCAGGGGTTGTGGATGTCTGACCCAAGTATGGGGCCTCATTGGTCCGGGTGGGGTCCTGCACATTATGCCTTCTCTCTCATTTTGTCTGTGTTCCTCTCTCTGTGTCTCTATCTCTCCATCTTTTCTCTCTGTCTCTCTCCCTCTTCCTTCCTCTTTCTGTGTCTCTCAATCTATCTCTCTGTGTATCTCTTTACCTGTCTCTGTGTTTCTCTCCATTTCTCTCCGTCTCTGTCTCTCTCCGTGTCTCTCCCTTTCTCCTCCCCACCCTCTGGCCCCACAGTCCCCCCAAGGTTTGTGAGCAAGGTCCGGGCAGTGCCTTTTGTGGAAGGAGAGGACACCCAGGTCACCTGCACCATCGAAGGTGCCCCACACCCTCAGATCAGGTGGGTTAGGTGGACAAGGGGGGTGGGCCTGCCCAGGGCCTCCACTTCTGCCTGTAAATCGAGGGTGGGCAGCTTGTTCACTGTGTTGGGGTCAACTAGACAGAAGCTCAGCCATTTGGGTGAGAAGTGGGTGTCCTGAGGGCGTGGCCTGTCTGACACAGCCCTCGCTGCAGCAAGGAGGGACTGCTAGGCCGGATGTTGGGCAGGTGGCATCCAAAAGGGTGGGCGCTATCAGGACACCAGGTCTGTGGGGTGGGTGAGGCGGGTCATGAGCACTGGGGGTTTTGGAGAGGCTCCACTGACTACTGGGGCTGCTGGTTTCAGGTGGTACAAGGACGGGGCCCTCCTGACCCCTGGTGGCAAGTACCGGACCCTGAGTGAGCCACGCAGTGGCCTGCTGGTGCTGGAGATCCGGGAGGCCAGCAAGGAGGACCTGGGCCACTATGAGTGTGAGGTGAGCGGGGAGGATACAGGGAAGTGGTGGGGAGCTTGCCGTGGGGCCACAACCTTGTCATCATCATCGATAACGCATGATGTAGAGCAGACATCAGGTTCAGGTCCCGCAGGGTCCATGACAGTACACCAAGTCCACTGTCATGCACGTCCATGGATGAGACAGAAGATATCAGCTCCACTGTCACCACCATCCATGATGAGGGAGGAGACACAGGCTTACTGTCACCTACCATTCATGGTGAAAGATTGTACAACAGACTTACCAAAGTCCATTCTGAGACAGGGGACGCCATGAAACTGTCTCCCACCACCGTGGTGAGAGAGGAGACACCAGACCGACTGTCACTCACCTTCTGATGAGAGGGAACACCAGGCCACTGTCGCACACCACCCGTTATTAAAGAAGGGAAAACAGGCAACTGCCACCCCATCTATGATGAGCTAACAGGACTCCATAAGCGGGGCTCTGGGCAGGGTCTGTCCTGCCCTTCATGGTCCAGGGACAGTGTGTGCAGGCTGTGTCTGCCTGGGGCCAGCCTCCTCCATGATACTGCTGCTGGCAGCCTGGGGTGGGCCGGGAGGGGTCTGCCCTCCGTGTCAGGTCTCAAGTCGGCTTGGGCCCTGTAAGTTCAACTCATCCCCAAAAGGGTGAGTCAGGCTCCCTGGACTCTAAGTGGCCTTTGCCGTCTGTGTCTGTCCGCAGCTGGTGAACCGGCTGGGCTCCGTACGAGACGGCGTGGAGCTGTGCCTGCAGGGCCCTACCCTGCAGGCCAGGGAACCACACCGCCGCAGGGAGCACGTGGCTGTGGTGGAAGGTAGGTGCAGCCGTTGAAGGTCTCAGCCTGGCTGGATTTGCTGGGGCTGGGTGGGGTGACACCATCAGTCCTTCCAATCAGGGTGTGCTCCCTGGAGAAGAGGCATTGGATGGAGGGGCTGCAGAGGCCTGACTGGAATAGAAAGTGGGTGGGACGAGGATGATGGGCCATAAACCCAGAACCCGGGCAAGGCTGGACTGACAACTTTAGGGCTCAGGGCCCAGGCCCTGCTCACCATCCCTGGGGAATAACGTATATAAAGGGCAGACCCAGGCCTGGGCAGCCTGTCAGGCAGCGGCCAGCAAGTGGGAGGGGTGGGAGGAATGGTAAGTGGGACAACTCCACCTAAGAGGGCGCTAGCCAAGTGCAGAGTGTAGGCTGCTGGGCTCCAGTTTGGCTTCCAGGAGATGGAGCGGGTGTCATGGTTCTGGTCTCTCCATACTAGGCAGGCTGTCCATGTTGAGTATCCCTGGCCTGGGGCCACCCCTGGGGTCCTGGGAGGGGGAGAGGTGGACCAGACTACAGAATGGGCCTCATTTGGGAAGGTGTGTTTCTGGCAGGAGGCGAAGGGCAGGGAAGTGCCTCATGCTTCCACTCACACACACTGTGACCCCAGGGTCCCAGCTGGGTCTGGCTGAGGATGGCCAGGACAGGGAGGAGGGCAGCTCACATCTGTCCTGGGCTGCTCAGTCTGAGAGAGCAGCCTTCTGGGGCTCACAGAGCAAGCTGCCAAGGGAGAGCTTCTCCGTCTGAGCTGCCTCACCTGGAAGAGGCTGTCTGGAAGGTGGTGAGCCTCCTGTCCCTGGAGACATGCAAGTACAGGCTGGGCCAACACCTGGTGGAGCTGCAACTCCCATAGTAGGACAAGTTGAAATGTGTGTCCTCCCAAATTCTGAAAGTTGGCTGCTGTGATCCTTGGCCACTAGACCCAGTCCCTCCCAGGACCCAGCGTCTGGGGGCCACTGTCTGTCTGGATCCTCACAGAGTCGGCCACCTAGAGTTCAGAACTTGGCCTCAGGGCCTTCGAGACTCTCCAGGGTCCTCACGGAGACCCATCCCTCCCTTGTGGGCAAGGGTTCTGGTTCCTCGTCCCCCAGAGGGCTGCCTGCACTGCCGGCCAGTTCTGCCGGAGGACAGGGCTATCTCTGGCACTTCCACTTCCTGCTGGTGGCACCTCCAGGGGGTGTGCTGAGCAGGGGGCTCGGAGCTCCCTCTCGGCTGGGGATAAGCACAGTCCTACAGAGCCGTTCTCTTCACTGTCCTGGTGGATCTTTTCTTGTCAATGTTCCGTGACCGGCCTCCAGTGTGGACACGTGCTGTGCCTCACTCAGGGAGATGGCCGGTTCTCACAGACCCTGGAATTGGAGCCTGCCACCTCCCGCTTCCTAACCCTGTCCTGCTGCTTTATCGATAACCTGGTGGCCCGCAGCCAGCTGGTCCTGTGGAGTGGGCGCCGCCCCCTCGCTTGTGAAACTGCACTGGGCTGGAAGTCCTGCTTCGCACGTCTGCACCCCTCCCACGGTAGCCAGTACTCACCAGGGCCCAGAGCCTATCAGGCTGCAGTTAGGTCAGGAACAAAGCCATCTAGGGGTGCCAGACCAGCACTCCCAAGAGCACAGGATGGGCCCGTCAGGGAGGATGAGAGGCAGAGGCCTGGTTCTCCCATTGCTCTGCACACAGGGTCTGCCCAGCTTAGACAAATCCATGGCATTTTTTCTGAACCCATTCTCCCAGCAGGCTGCCCTCTCTCCAGGAAGCAGCTTGCACAAACATGCACATGCACGCACACACATACACCTGTGTGCATACCCACACAGGAACACACGTATACACGTGTGCACACACAGAGACTCAGCTAGTACATTTAATTCACATGCACCTAATCAAAGACAAGTCTAAAACGCTCTTGGTTGCCTAAAGCAAAGCCTTACTCCATGTGGCTTTGCAGCAAAGCAGAGCCTCCCCTTCAACTTACACAGGACAGTGAGAGGGGATGCTGAGATTTGAGGGAGCTGGTAGCCGGTGGCATCCTTGCTGTCCAGGTGGGCAAGACTGGGTGGGACACCCCTGAGCCAAGCCTGACCCCGCCCAGAAGCTGCAGAAAAAGAGGCCTTAAGATGATTAGCATAACTGCTGCCTGGCCCCAGACAAGTCCTGTTCTGTCTCTGGGACTTGGGTCCCCCATCACAAGACAGGAGTCACAGGCCCTATCCTGCTGCTCCGGGGAGGAGGAAAGCTAGGCGCTCCTGTGAGAAGACCTGGGTTGCCCAGGCATCTGCAGGCTGCTCCATGGGCCTCCGTGTTCTCCAGCCGTGGAGCTCAGATTCGCCTCCTCCAGGACTCCAGCCATTCTCTCCTAGAGACACCTTTGGTCTTTAGGGGATTTTTTCCCTGTAAAATGGGCATCAGCTATCCTGGTTCTAGTTTGGCTGCTTGCTCACTGTGCAGCCACAGGCTATTCCTTCCCTCTCTCTAGACCTCAGTTTCTATGTCTGAGAAGCAGGACTTTGGCCTGACAAATTCCCAGGGTTCCCTAGGCACATAGCTGAAGGAGAAGCTGGGATTCTGTGTGGGCAGCCTAGGAAAGGGCCTTGCTTTATCTGAAGCTTCTGCAAGACCCTCAAGAGGGACAGGTCCTGCTCTCATGGAGCATGCATTGCCATACCACTCAAGGCAGACAGATCAGCAGTTCAGTGAGGGAACTAGCGCTCTAACATGAGACAGTGTCCCTGGGGCACACGGCCCGGCAGGGCTTGGACCCAGTGCTGCTAAGCTGAGCGGGCTACTACACTGCCATGCCACTTAGCTAGCTCAGCCCTACGTGCTGACTGATCTGTAACCCTCGCTATTCCGACTGTTTTCTTTGTAGTCACTGAGCAGGAGACTAAAGTCCCCAAGAAAACCGTCATCATGTAAGTGCAGGCGTGTTTCTAACCTTCCTTCTGACTGCCGTGCCACCTGCATGCCCACTAACCCACCCGGACCTTGCCCGTGTGGTCTGGCACCTGCTTGCCTGACTGCCTGCCCTCACTGTCTGTGCTTGCCACACAGACTGCCAGCACCTTGCAGGTACTGCCAGGGAGTTCACTCCCCTGGACTTGGCTGCCTTCACACTCAGCTTTCTCTTCCAGGGCCTCAGAACCCTCTCCATGGCTGCACTGCCTCAGGAGGGTAGACTTACTCTGCACACTCCACAGTGTCTCACCTAGAGTCACACCTGTTAGGGTAGACCTGGGACTGACAACTGTGTCCTGCTGGGCTAGAGGCATATTTCTACCCTTCAACACCCTGGGATCTAGGGTGTTGCTGTCCAACAGAATTTCCTGTGAGGATGGAAATATTACAAGTTTACAGTGTCTACTACAGCTGCATGTGACTATTGGGCATTTAAAATGTGTCTAATGCAAATGAAGAATTGAACTTTAACTTTTCACTAGTTTGACTTCAATTAAAATAGTATAACCATAGCTCTGGAGCCCTTAGACATCTCCAAGTCCAACCCTCACATTTGAAAGATGGGGAAACTGAGGTTCAGGAAAGAAAAGAGGGTTTCTCAGGGTGGCTTGTGATTCTAAGCTAACAAAGCACCCATTTCCCTGGTGCCACACCCACTGTCCTTCTTCTTCCAAGCCTTTAAAGCTGGAAAAAAAAGACATATGGTTGTTGATAATTAAATAACACAAGAGGTCCAGAGCTAGTTGAAGCCATGAAGGAGGGATTGGTTTTGGCCTGGACAATCTGGAAGGACTTCCAATAGGAGATGTGTGCAGGTGGATGTGGTGGAAGAGCTTGCAAAAGCCAGGAGGCAAGAAAGGCGATCGTTTCCTAAGGCCAGGTGACTGAGAACTCCAGGATGGCAACCTCTTAGTTCCCCAAGGGCCTCAGGCCTCTTAAAGGGCCTACAGTTAGTCATGTTGCTAGAGAATCCCATATTCACACGTTTGATAAGGTCCTGGGTTAACCTTCCTGACTTTCTTCCTCCTCCCACAAAGCAGGTCGACACCCCACAATAGAGGGGCTGCCTAGGGCAGCAATGAGCACCCCATCCCTGGAGGTATGCAACTACTCTGCAGCTTTACACAGATCAACTCTACATTTCATCCATGAGAGGAGCATTGTTATTTTCACATTTAATGGATGACATAATGAGGAGCAGAAATGGGCCAGGCAGCCCTATGTGGCGGGGGGTAGGGGTGGGGGGGTGGGGAGTGTCAGAGAGGACTCATGCCAATGGGAGACTGGACTAGGTGACTCCAGGTACCCTAAAGTCCATTGCATTCCAGGCTCATGGTGGTAGCAACTTTCACCCCACAAGGAGTGTACCCGCTCAGCGTGAGAAGTGGAGGGAGGAAACTGCCTGGCACAGCATGCCCCCGACCGGGCACACCACACAGTGAGGGTGCCGGGGAGCCAGGAGTATGGAAAAGCAACCGGCTTGGAGAGACTACCACCTGGAAGCCCCACATGCTGTACCAATGGCCTCAGAGCAGGATGCCCACATGCCCTCATGGGAGCAGCAGGGAGCCCAGTAGTGGGAGTGGCATTTTATTTATTTATTTATTTATTTATTTATTTATTTATTTTCGTTAATCCTCACCTGAGGATATTTTTCCATTAAGTTTTAGAGAGAGTGGACAGGAGGGAGAGAGGGGGTGGAGAGAGAGAAACATTGATGTGAGAGAGACACAGCAATCAGTTGCCTCCTGCATGCGCCCTGACCAGGGCCAGGGATGAAATCTGCAACCCAGGTACATGCCCTTGACCAGGAATTGAACTTATGACCTTTGGGTCATGGGCTGACGCTCCAACCACTGAGCACCACCGGCCAGGGTGGAAGTGCCTTTTAGAGGAGTGATCCAGTTTCCCAGTTCCACCTGACCCACTGTCCTTTCTTAGCCAATTAGGCAGCATGAGGCCAGCAGATGGGACCTGGCCCAGGTTCCCCTGATGTGTGGGCAGACTCTGACCTCTGGACCTGAGTGCGGGGCAAGAAGGCAGGTTTTGGCCCTGAGTGGGCTCTGACTCCAAACCTCAGTTTCTCCTCAGTGAGGTGGAGATAGCATTTCCCCTTTCCAGGTGAGGGCTGGAGGAGGCAGGACCTCTAACTGCTCTGCTCCCTGAGGTGTGGCCACAAATCTCTGGGTCCATGCCTGAGGGTAACTGCTCCTGGATGGAGCCCTGAGTTAGACAAAAGCAAAGCTGGAGAAAGAGAGACAACCTCTTACCAGGCAGGCAGCTGACGACAGCACACCAAATCCCTCTGCCTGAGCCCAAGAGGAAATGCAGGTCCTGGGGCCCAGGAAAGCTGTGTGTTCCTCAGCCCATTGCTCCCCCTGCCTGTCCCTCATTTCACCCTCAGCACCCAGCCAGGTCAGGGCAGTGGACGGTCGAGGAGGACCTAGCTGACTGGTGGGCTTCTGACTCTTGGTCCTGAGAAAGTTTTGAGCCTCTTTGAGTCTTGCCCACTCCCATAAAGGGGGGCCAGACCCATCCCCCAGTGCTGCTGAAGAGTCTCCAATCAGCACCCCATGTGCACCCACATGCAACTGGCCTTGAGTTCTGCTTCTTCTCCCCCCACTCCCTGTTTGGAAGATGGGGCCCAGGAAGGGGAAGAGCTTGTCTGAGGTCACAAAGCCTATGACAGCAGAGTCACATCCGGGACCAAGTGTCCTTGCCCAGCCTCACACCACCAGACCAAGAGGCCAGGAACCCAGACTGCAGGTCAGGGCTCTGACAACCTTCTCATACCTGCACCTGTGGCATCAACTGCCCAGTCTGTCCCTAACTCAAGATCACTGAGGCACCTGCCCTCTGAGAGCTTGCTGGGCCCCCACCCCATGATACAAAGCACAAAACGCTGGTGGGACAGACAAGGAGGACTGTGGGGCACTGTCCTTGCACACTGGCCATTAGCTCTGAGAGGACTGGCATCCAAAATAAGACAGCTATGAACAGGGAATACTACCCACAGGGACTTGCACACTGGACTTGGTCTGGGGTTTGGAGGCACCTGTGTGATGCAGTGATGCCTCAACTATTTTAGGTCTGCGCACCAGAGGCCATGGTTGACCAGAAGAGACTCTGTGTTTGTTTCTTTGGCTCTCTGGCTGGGGGTTCCAGAGATGGGGCTCAAGTGCATGTGTAGGAGCTTATGTAGTTTCACCCTTTGCTTGCTGGTACATTAACCTGATCTCTCCTGCTGGCTCTGAATGTGCTGGTGGCATGGGTGGCAAGCCAGGCTGCAGGTCTCCGTGCCATCTCCTCTCGGCCCTCTCCCTGCAGAGAGGAGACCATCACCACCGTGGTGAAGAGCCCGCGTGGCCGCCTCAAGTCCCCCAGCAAGTCTCCCTCCCGCTCGCCTTCCCGGCACCCTGCCAGTTCACACAGGTCAGGCCTGTCAGCCCCTGAGCTGCTGCATTCACCAGGGGCTGGCCAACTTCGAAGGCCAGGGGAGGAGCCAGGCTGGAAGCCCCCTGTACCCACGCTGTACGTGACAGAGCCCGGAGCCCATACGCCAGCCCTGCCCAGGGGCACTGGGCCCAGGCCCAAGTGGGTGGAGGTCGAGGAGACCATCGAAGTCCAGGTGAAGAAAACAGGCCCAAGGGGTGCATCTCCAGCTAGAGAGGTGCCTGGCAGCTCAGCGGGGCTTCTCTTCACACTTCCTGGTGGGACCCCCAGAGGAGACCCCAACACAAACAACTCCAACAACAAGCTGCTGACTCAGGAGCCCCTGACCCAGGGCAGAGTCTTCTGTGTGGATGCTGGGCTGGAGACCCATGAGCTGTCCCCTCCTGGGGCCACCAAAGAGGAGGCCCCCCTGGAGGTGCGGGAGGGGAGAGGTGTCCACCTGATGGAGGAGCCCCTGGGCGCCGAGGACCTTCGAGGCTGGGACCCCAAGATCCTCACACGCGATGGCTGTGTGCTGACGCTGGCTGACCTGGAGGATTACATGCCCCAGGAAGGGGAGACCTTCGGCTGCAGCAGCCCCGTGCCCAGTGTCTCCGACGACCCACCCTGCGAGGTCTCGGTGCTCCAGAGAGAGATCAGCGAGCCCACTGTGGGACAGCCCGTCCTGCTTGACGTGTGGCACCCACCAGGCCCCCGAGCCCCACCTGGCTTCTTCAGCTGCTTGCCCCAGGGAGCAGCTCTGTCGAGGCCCCAGGTCTTCCGCCCTGTTGGTGTCTCCCGGGCTAGGGGTGCCACATCCTTCTGCACCCAAGTCCATCGCTCTGCGGACAGTGGCCAGAGCAGCTTCAAAACGGAGGTTTCCACCCACACGGTCAGCTTTGGGACAGTGGGTGAGACAGTCACCCTGCACATTCGGCCTGACGGGGATGAGGACCCCAGTCCGTCCCAGGGCTGAGGCTGCGACCCTCGACCCTCAAGGTCACAGGCGGCTGGGGGGTGAGACATTGACCCTCTCAGAGCCAGTTTACTGCTGACAGGGCTGCATAAGAGCAGCAGAAAGAGGGGCATGGCCTTGGGGCCTAGGACCCTGCCTGGCACCGTACCTACCTGCTTCACAGCTGCTGTGAGTTTTGAGCTCTGGAGAGGGGCCTGAAGCCAGCACCTCAGGACATGTGCTCTGACCACCCCCCTGCTCTCCAGCAACTCGGGACTTCAGCTGCCTGTCTTCCTGGGGTCTTCAGCTGAGGACACTGTCTGCACAGCTGTAACCCAGATTTACTGAGAGCTGTGGGGGAACAGCAGGTAGACTCGGTCTGGGCTGTGACCTCCCATCTCTCTTTGCTGTGGCACACCCCTGCCCCAAGCCCAGGCTGCCCCATCTCAGTGGGGGCTTTTAGGGGGACATCTTCCCATGGACACTGGGTGCCCTCTGTAGACTTTCCAGGCCTCCCCTGCAGCATGGGCCAGGGTCTGGGTGGGAAGCAGCCCCTGCTAGTTGACTCCATGATGATAATAAACTGGCTCCCACACCCTGTACTCTGCTCCTTCTTGCTTCTTCAAGTGGCTCTAGAACTTGGGCGGTAGGGGCCCTCTAGACCTAGCTCTGGGGACCAACCAGTGGCAGCCCAGGCCCCCTCTTCTGCAGCCTGGGGTGGGTCCTGGCCGTCTGAGGTCCCTGGGTGGAGGCAGCGCACTCGCCTGACCAGCCTGCCAGCACTCGAGCAGGCAGGCCTTCCTGCCCCTGTGCAGCCAGGCTGTTGTCAGGACAGACAATGGGGGTGTGATGTGTGGGGGGAGGGTCCTCCTTGGAGTGGGAAAGGACAGGGTGGGTACCCTAATGCTGGAGAGGGTCCTGGGGCAGGGGAGGGCTCTAGGCAAGGGGACCTGCTGGGAATGGAGCAGTGGGCATGACTGGGCACACCTGTCCGACTACAGTGATGCCACCTGGGGCTGGCAGCCAGGCGGAGGAAGGGGCTGCACCCAAGGCTGAGGGCAGGGAGGGTCTGGTGGGAAGAGGTGTGGGCTGAATTGGAGGCCAGGGCAGGGCCAGATGAAGGGGCAGTGACCTGGGCCAGACAGGCCCTCTGGTGGAGTCCCGTCCTGGGTGGGGGACAGGGTCTGCTATGGGAGGGCAGTAAGGGAGCCCACCCCTTGTGGGTGCCCAGGCCCCTCAATTGGCTGCAGGTTTCCCTATATTATGGGGCTGGGTCCACTGGGCCTGGGGTCCAGAGTGAGCCATGAGGGAGGTCAGCACAGGATGAAGGGATGGCGAGAGCTGAGACCTTGGGGCAGACGGGGCGCATGGAGGGTGACCATGCTCAGCTGCTCCTGAGGAGTTGGCGTTCTCCTGGAGGCATCTGGGCACAAGTGCAGGAGTGGTGGGGCTCTGCTCTCAGTGCCCTGGGCACCGTCTCTACCCACTCCCAGGCCCCTTTCTCTTGCGGGCTTCCACCTCCAGCGCCTCCTGAGAGAGGAGTGGTGGGTGGGAAAGGCAGCCTGTTCGTCTTACCTGGGCATCTCTAAGGACTGAGATAGGTTTCCTGAAGCCCCTGCTCAGGTCCTCAGCCATGTCTCACCCCTACAGGCTGACCCACTTTTCCCATAGGTGCTGCTGTCCCACCCCCAACTGCTCTGGAGCAAGTGGACCAGAGCACATCTGGCCAGAGGACACTGGTGGGCCTGGAGGCTCCGGGAACCTCTGCAGGGGACCACGCTGGCCTGGGCCCCAAGGAGCCACTTGCTCTCCAGGAGGCCAGCCCCCAGCTCCTAGGCACTGAGGCTGCAGATGAACCTGGTGAGGCCCAGTGGCAGGCTGACTGCCAAGTACCACCTGCTCCCAGACCCCCTCCTCTGTGCTGACCCAAGCCTTGGTCGCCATGGGTGCTCATCCCATGGGAGTGAAGTGGAAGAACCCTGGGGACCCAGATATCACTGGGATCCTTGCATAGGGGCCCTGGGCAAGGCCCACCCCTTACTCAGGCTGTCCCCCATCTACGAAACTAGGCAGGGGAGAGGTAGTTCAGGGAGGTTCCCACCCTGAGTACATCTGTCCTGGGTGTCAGAGACCTGAGTCAGAGCCCCGGTAGGTAGCCTGGGCACCCTGTGCTCAGGGTAGGAGAGGAGGGGGTGGGGCGGAGGAGAGGAAGGAGGAGGATACCTTGCCCCTGACAGATGCAACCCTAGGGATGCTGCCGAGGGGGTCCTCTCCACCGAGTGCCGCATCCCTTGTGGGATGGGGTGTGGGGGAGGTGGGCAGCCTTAGGGCTGGTGGCCTGGGCTCCCGGCCAGGACAGGTGGGTGCCTGGAGGAGGTGCACATGCGTGGAAAGAGTCCCGGGTTTGGGGACACGGACCCTTGCGCCCCTGCTCTGCCTGTGCTCCCACCCTCTGTGCCCTGGAGGGTGACAGGGGCATGTCATTGGGGACAGCCCCAGTGCAGCCCAAGCTCTGTCTCACTAGGCCCTGGCCTCCCACCAGCAGAGTCCAGGAAGGTGCCTGAGTCTCTCCCTCCTGGGAGCCAGGATCAGGACCCAGGGGCTCCTGTGGCGGCTCACAAACGCATGGTTCCCATCAGGTAATGTCCCTGGCATACTGGGTGGAGCTTTCTATGCGGGGACGTCTGCGAGCAGGGCAGGAGGAGTAAGAAGTGGGCGCACAGCACCCCAGGGCATTCCTCATCAGCCCCACCCCAGCCAAAGGGCAGTACAAGGAGGAGAGGTTACTCTCGGGGCGAGAGGTGTTCGGGGAGCCCCTCCACACGTAGGGCTGGGCCCCGGTCTCTGCATTTCTTTCCATGCAGTCTGCTGCAGCCCCGGGTGGGGGTGGAGCAGGGGCCCATCTTACCACCAGGGTCAGTGCCCAACCCCAGAAGTGGATGGGTGGCAGACAACTCACCCCGCTGCATGACCCCAGGATGGAGAGCGCGGCCTGGCCAGGGACAGAGGCCACTGAGCTCTGGGATGTCTGCAGCCATGTGTTCACAGAAACCATGCACCGGACATACGTGTACAAGGCCAGCGACCTGGGTGCCGCAGCAAGTAGGCTACGTGTGTGCCCGCCGGGCAGTCGGCTGGGGGACACTTGCACGGAGGAGCCATCCGATGTGTGTCAGCTTGCTGCGGCCAGATGTGTGTCAGCTTGCTGCGGCCAGCCCCTGCGACCCCAGCCCCTGAGTCCCCTCCGAGGGGCATCCCTGGGAGGGGAGCACAGGCAGCAGGGACCTAGATGTCCTCTCTGCAGCCTAAGTTAGCATGCCCTGTGTGCCTGCCTCCAAGAGCCAGGTTCAAGCGGGGAGACGGTGCTCAGAAGCACCTCCTAACTGTCTGGAGCCTGCGCCGAATCAGGAGGGGCCGCCTTCACCTGGGAGGCCGAGGGGCTTTGTCACCCTGAGGGTCTCAGGGCCTTGAGATGCCTGGGGCGCCTGAGGCACCTGGGTCCCTGCCAGCCCACCGGGGTCTCGATGATGCAGGCCCCGCTCACAGACTGCAGTGTGGGCTGCGGTGGGCGGCTGTGCTGTGCAGCCTGGACTTCTCCCCACGGTTTTCTCCGTACCCCCAGGACCCCCGTCCATGCAGGTCACCATCGAGGATGTGCAGGCACAGGGAGGCAGCACAGCGGAATTCCAGGCCGTCATCGAGGGCAACCCACAGCCCACAGTGACCTGGTATAAGGTAGAGATGCGTGTGGGGTGGGGCCCTGTATCTGGAGGGAGAGTGAAATCCCCACTGGACATGGCATGTCACTCACGGAAGGCAGGGTGGGCTGATGGTCACCCCCCACCTGTGCCTCCAGGACAGCGTCCAGCTGGTGGACAGTGCACGGCTCAGCCAGCAGCAGGAAGGGACAACCTACTCCCTGGTGCTGAGGGATGTGGCCCAGCACGATGCCGGTGTCTACACCTGCCTGGCCCAAAACGCTGGCGGCCAGGTGCTGTGCAAGGCGGAGCTGCTGGTGCACGAAGGTGAATCAGGGAACCCTTCCCAGGTCCCAGTCCGACTTCCTGCGGGCGTGGTGTCCTGTGGGCTCCCACAGGCTCGGGCACAGGGAACTGCCCCGCAGACACTACAGAGTTGGGGAACAGTGAGAGGGGGTGGTGATCTCTGTCCACACTGGCAACTGACTGCTCCCTGGCTATAGGGGCCAGCGAGCTGGGCTCGGGGAAGCAAAGCTATCGGAGAAAACTGCACTCTTTCTACGAAGTCAAGGAAGAGATTGGGAGGTATCTCCCCCAGCCCCAGGAGCCCCGCCCCCATCCCTGCCCAGTCCCCCAAACCTGGCCTGCTGGATCCCTAGCCCAGGATCCCCAGCCCCAACCCCCGGAACCCTGCCCTCTGGAGTCCTGGTCCCCCATAAACCCTTACCTCCTGAGGACCCCACTTATCAGAGGCCACCCCTCAGTCCTCTCTGGACGCCTGGGAACCCTGCCCAGCACCCAGCCCCTGCTCTCCCAGAATCCTCCTCTCTCAGGAATCTGCCCGCCTATCAACTGCAACCCTGCCTTTGGAAGCTCCCATCTCCTGGAAGACCCCCCACCCATCCCATCCTCGCCTCCCCCCTCCAGTACCCTCCCATCCTCAGGAAGCCCGTACCCTGGGAACCCTACCTCTAGGGAGTCCTTGCCTCCCCAGTACCCGCTCCCCCAGCCCCTGTTCTCCAGGAACCCCACCTCCCTCCTTGGAGCCGTCTTGGGAGTCAGCGTGGGCTCCCTCTTCCTAGAGGTGTGTTCGGCTTTGTGAAGAGGGTGCAGCACAAGGGCAACCAGATGTCTTGTGCTGCCAAGTTCATCCCCCTGCGGAGCAGGACGCGCACCCAGGCTTACCGGGAGCGAGATGTGCTGGCAGAGCTGAGCCACCCGCTGGTGACCAGGCTGCTGGACCAGTTTGAGACGCGCAAAACGCTCATTCTTGTCCTGGAGCTGTATCCAGCCCCCAGCCCCAAGAGCACCAGGAGGGAGCAGGCCTCAGGAGAGCAGGGGTCCCCGGGCGCTGCGGGCCTGCGATCCTGGTGTCCTCGGTCCTGCTTTCCTAGTGGGGGCCGCCAGCTGGGCCTCCCACGTTCCTGTTACGATGCTGTGTGACTAACCAGCCCAGACATGGCCCTGTCCTCAGAGCTCGCTGCCCCTTGAGTCGGGAATTTGGGCAGGGTTGCGTCCAGAGGGTCCAAGACATGCCTGGGCAGGGCCCCTCCCCTGCTCCATGTGGCCTCTCTCAGCAGGAGGTCGGGCTGCTTAAATGGCAGCCCTGAGCCCCAAGTGCTGGGCTTCCTACTTTGTCCACTCAGGCTCGAGGGAGGGCCACACCCCTTCCCTGCCCCCTCTGGGTCTCACCCCACCACTTGCTAGAGTCTCTGGGTGTCACGTGCTCACTCCCCGCCACCTCCCCCAGTCAGCGACCCCTGTCCCTGCAGGGGACGTGGGCTTTGTGCAGAGTAGAGGATGTCTCCACTCCAACTCTGCTACTGGCTCCTGGCCTCAGCTCTCTCCTCAACCCGGAGGGCCCACCTCCCCAGCATGGACCCCCACTTCCACCCCAAGATAAGACTTGCCATGGGGTGTGGAGCCGGGTGGGTTCCAGGCCCCAAAGCTTTCCTTGACCTGAGCCCCAGGTGCTCATCAGAGGAACTACTGGACCGCCTGTTCAAGAAGAGTGTGGTGACAGAAGCTGAGGTGACTGCAGCCTGAGCTGTCTGCCCAGCCAATGGGCTTGCATGTATACCCACCAGGCCTCCTACTCCCCCGCCCCCCACCCTGACTCCTGCCCCAGCAGACACAGCCTCCCCTCTTGCACAGTGTGCCCCAGCTCAGAGACCTTTTGGGGTCTCCAGGGCCTCACGAAGTGTCACAGTTCCTCAAAGACCTCCTGGGCAGAGCTCACCACTTCCCTCTCCCAGCCTGTACCTGGCCAATGGGCCAACCCTTGCCTTCTCCTGAAATATCAAGCTTCCTGTTTTGCTCAGGCGGCTTCACACATCCAAACCCTCCCCACCTTCAGGGCCCAGAGGAATCGCCATGCCCAGGCTCATGGGGTCTGGGAGGCTTTGTTTGTACTGCCTCTGGGACTGTCCCAGGCTTGGAGGGAGTGGAGGTGTAGATTGGCGCAAGGCGGGGAGGAAAGCGGAGGGGAGGGGGGGGTCGAGGCTGACTGTCTTGCCTGCGCAACGGCCTTTGCCACTGTAGGTCAAGGTCTACATCCAGCAGCTGGCGGAGGGGTTGCATTACCTGCACAGCCACAGCATCCTCCACCTAGACATAAAGGTACTTGCCCCAACCACCCTGCATCCCAGAGTCCTGGGAAGGGCAGATGGGAGCCTGGGGCCTGCAGGCTGGAAAGGCACAGGCCCACCACTTCCAGTTTTCCTGTCAGGATTTACTCATTTTTGGGGATGGGAGGCTCACTACTTTACCAGCAGCCCCTGCAGGTGGGGTGTGGCTCTGATAGAGCATAGGCTGCCCCCAAATGGTACTGAAACCTGCTTCGGCCCCCACTGGCCTCTTCGTCTCATGGAACAGCTCCTCACAGACTCCCTAGTTAACCCCCTGCCTCAGACCTGGCAGCCCCAGGAGTCACCTCCGTAGGTTGAGGCCTTACCCACTCATGACTCTGTCCAACAGCCCCCCAACATCCTGATGGTGCATCCTGCTCGGGAAGACATTAAAATCTGCGACTTTGGCTTTGCCCAAAAAATCACCATGGCAGAGCCAAAGTATAGCAAGTACGGGTCCCCTGAGTTTGTGTCCCCGGAGATCATTGAGCAGACCCCTGTGAGCGAAGCCTCTGACATCTGGTGAGTGGGTGGGCCCCCAGGGACAAAGCCACCATGACAGCCCATCCTCCTGTTCTCTGCCTGCCGTCTCTCAGCTGCCATTCCCCTCATGCCCCTCACCTGGGGGCCAGGCTGGGTGACTCACAGCTGTGGTTTTGTTCCCACAGGGCTATGGGGGTCATCTCCTACCTCAGGTGAGCAGACCTGTGCCCCATCTCCTCAGAAGAAATCCCAGACCCCACCCGCAGGCTCATGGGAGGTCCCAGGCCCCGCTGGCCCTCCCCAGATCAGAGACCTGGGACCCAAGGGGGAGCTGGTTTGGAAACAAGCAGTTGGCCAACTCGGATAAGAGGTTTTGCGCAGGGCTTTTCACCATACCCTGTCCCAGAGAAGCTCTTCCCAGTGGGGTCGTGAGGCACAGCGCTGAGCTGTTTCCTCAGAGGGTCTGGCTGGTTTGTCCAGAGGCCCTCCATCGCAGTTACTGCCCTGAGGACGCTGCAGGTGCAGACTGAATCCAGATCCTCACTCCAGCCTGAGCCTGCACACCTGGGCACGTCTGAGACACTTGCTGGGACGCTGAGGGAACTAAGAGGCCTTCCCAGTCAGTGCTCTGCCGACCAACCCCAGGGGACCCAGAGATCCGGGGTCGTGTCTGAGGGCCCGACACTGTGCTTTCAGCTTGACCTGCGTGTCCCCATTTGCGGGCGAGAGTGACCGAGCAACCCTCCTGAACGTGCTGGAGGGGCGGGTGTCCTGGAGCAGCCCGGTGGCTGCACACCTCAGCCCGGATGCTCAGGACTTTATCAAGGCCGCCCTGCGGAGGGTCCCGGAGTGAGTGTGCATGCCCTCCTCTCCTCCCCCATCCCCTGTTCAGGAGACCGGCCAACCCCTGGCCTGACCCCTGGCTTGGTCTCCCCACAGAAGCCGGCCCAGTGCAGCCCAGTGCCTTGCCCACCCCTGGTTCCAGGTGAGTAGGGTGAATCTGGCAGGCCTGGTGAACAGGGAGGAAAAATGAGGCCAAGAGGGTGGGGCCTATCTGGCTCTAGGGTGCACCAGGGTCTCCCCTCACACACGTGGCTTTCTCACCCGGGCCCCCCAGAAGTCCCTGCCCGCGGAGGAGGCCCACTTCATCAACACCAAGCAGCTCAAGTTCCTCTTGGCCCGCAGCCGCTGGCAGGTGAGCCAGGCGGGATGGCTGAGGGGTGGGCAGGGAGGGGCCTGGAGGCAGGTGGGGGAACTGAGGTCCCAGGGCTGGCTGTGTGCAGGGAGGTGGGGGCTGGGCATCCTTCTTTCAGAATCTGTGTTCCCTGAGCTGACAGGATGGGCCACAAACACAGAGTCCTGGGGTGTAGGGAATGGGGACAAGGGCTTTTAACGCGCCCCGCCTCCTGGGCCCCCCATCTGGGGGCACCGGAGTCGGGAGGCAGTGGGCCCTGGCTGATGGCCCCCGTCCCCGCGCCCCCAGCGCTCCCTGATGAGCTACAAGTCCATCCTGGTGATGCGCTCCATCCCCGAGCTGCTCCAGGGCCCGCCGGACAGCCCTTCCCTCGGCGTGGCCCGGCACCTGCGTGGCGACGCCAGCGCCTCTTCCAGCAGCTCCTCGTCCTCCGACAACGAGCTGGCACCCTTCGCCCGGGCCAAGTCGCTGCCACCCTCCCCGGTGACGCACTCGCCGCTGGTGCACCCGCGAGGGTTCCTGCGGCCGTCGGCCAGCCTGCCCGAGGAGGCCGAGGCCTGTCCTCCCGAGGAGGCCCTGCCTCGGCCCGCGCCGCCCGGGGGCACCGAGCCCGCAGCTGCCCCGGGCTGCGTGCCCCGGCAGAGCGTCATCCGCAGCCTGTTCTACCAGCAGGCCGGCCAGAGTCCGCCGCGCGGGGCCCCGGCCACGGCCACGGCCACGGCCACGGCCACGGGCAGGCGGGTGCCTGCGCGGCGGAGGCACCTGCTCAAGGGCGGCTACTTCGCGGGCGCCGTGCCCGGCCTGCGCGAGCCGCTGCTGGAGCACCGCGCGCTGGAGGAGGCGGCCGCCCGAGAGGAGCCGCCCTCCTTCGAGACTTCCCCGCGGCCGCCCAGCGCCAGCACCGGCGCCCCCGGAGGCCCCTGCCGCAGCCAGTCCCTGGGCTCCGACTGTCCCCGTGGGGCCGGCCCCTCCGGAGAGGCCTGCCATGAGGGGCAGGGTCCCTCACCCACCCTCTGGGGCCTCCAGGCTGAAACAGGAGGGGAGAGCATGCCCAGAGAGGTGGCAGGTGCCCCGGAAATGGAGTCTCGGGAAGGGCAGAGACCATTTTCATCTTCTGGCGGAGATCCTTGCCTTGCTGAGCAAGAGGGGTCCTCCCAGGACAGCTGTGGGGGGCAGCCGGCTCCTTTTTATCACCCCCAGAGGGGCCCTGCCACCAGGAAGGGCTCTGATCCCCCTGAGGCTGTTGCACCCCAAGCTCCTGGCTCCTTCCTCTCCCGGGGACTGCAGGCTCCCTCCTCCTCAGCTCAGGCAAGCCTCCAGTCAGGCCCGAAGATGGGGCTGGAGGCCACCCTGTTTCCTGGGAGGCCCCGTCCCCCCAGCTCTCCAGGGCCAGCCTCCCCATCTGGCAGGGCGCCCGGCTCCTCCCTGGACACCAAGGATCTAGCCCAGGAGACAGAGGGCCTGTGGGAGTCTGAGCCCAGCCCACCTCAGCCTCGGGAGCAGGCGACCTCACGGAAGTTCTCCCTCGGGCACCATGGCGGTTATGCAGGGGTGGCCGGCTATGGTGCCTTTGCCTTTGGCGGGGATGCGGGAGGCATACTGGGACAGGGACCCCTGTGGGCCCGGATGACCTGGGCCACCTCTCAGTCCTCGGAGGAACAGGACGAAACAGGGGCCGAGAGCCCACTCCCCCAGGCCAGCGTGGTGCCCTTGCCAGAGGGCAGCGGGGGAAGGGGATCCCAGGTGTCGCTGGTGCAGATCCAGGACCTGTCAGGGGACATGGAGGCAGCAGACACCATGTCTCTGGATATATCAGAGGTGGAGCCTGCCTACCTCAACCTGTCGGACCTGTACGACATCAAGTACCTTCCCTTTGAGTTCATGCTCTTCAGGAAGATCCCCAAGCCAGAGCTGCCACCATCCCCAGCGTCAGAGGCCGGGGAGGAGCTGGCTGAGCTCCCAGAGGCCACGTGGTCCTGGCAGGGTGGGCTGGGCCTGCCTGCCAGCCTGGAGATCAGGGAAGAGCTGGAGGACAGTGAGGCCCTGTTCAGGGAGGCAGGCGGCAGCAGGAAGCGCAAGTGGTCACCCCCCTCCAGTGGCCTGCGCTTCCCTGGGAGGCATGCCCTGCTGGATGAGCCTGTGGAACTGGGGCTGCGCCAGAAGGTGAGGGCCTCAGTGGCCCATATCTCCAGCCTCCTGAGAGGCAGGCCTCAAGGTGAGTCTCTTCCCCAACCCCCGCCATCATGGGGGCTTCTGGGCCTGGCCAGGTGTGCCCTCTGCATCTTGGGGCACCTTGCACACACGCCCAGGAATCAGCTCAGGAGCCCACCTGAGGCAGGAAGCCCTCCCTACCCCTGCCTGTGCCTGTGCCTGTGCTGCCCACCCCCATGCCCATGGGCTTCTGTTCCCAAGATCGTCTTCTTGGCTTCATCCCCTCCTATGTGCCTCTGAGACCTAGTGCTGGGACCTGGAGCAACCGCAGGGGTTACACCCCCGCGGAGAGGATCCTTCCCGGGCCAGTCTTCCTGGCCCCTGACCCTCACTGACCCCACCTGACCCCAGATCTCAGCCAGGACTTCTGGGCACCGGCACCCCTGAGCTGCTGGCCTTACTTGCCAGAGGTCCTCCCACTCAGAATGGACAGATGCTGACAGGCTAGGGAGGGGGGGGACTCCTCAGCAGATTTAGTTTGTTTCCCCCAAAAACCCCTAGGATCTGGGCTTTTCTGCGACATGGAAATCTGGCAGAGGGTGGTAGGTGGCCCCAGAGTCCTCCTCCTGTGCTCCTGATGGCAGTGCCAGGCAGCTGGGCAGCCTCTTGGTGTGACCTCCCTTGGTCCTGTCCTCCATGCAGGTCCAGAGAAGGAGGGTCCCCCTAGGAAAAAGGCAGGCCTAGTTTCCTTCCGGCTGTCGGGTCTGAAGAGCAGAGACCAAGGTGAATGTGCTTCCTGGGACTGGGTCCCGCTGCTGCCCAGGAGACCACAGTGCCCAGACCAGCAGGGGAGCAAGCTAAACCCACAGTGACTTGAGCCCAGATGGGGGTGCTCGGCTCCCTGGTTGTCGGGACTGAGCACTTCCTGGAGGAGGCGCTAGTGTTGAAGATGAACTGGGTGGGGTGGGCTTCTCTCCAGTATCCCCACCTCGGCTTTTATGCTCTGCCTGGGGTCACCTCTGACACTTGGTCCACCTCCCTTCTCTAGCGCCATCCTTCCTAAGGGAGCTTGCAGATGAGACCGTGGTCCTGGGCCAGTCTGTGACTCTTGCCTGCCAAGTGTCGGCCCAGCCAGCTGCCCAGGCCACCTGGGATAAAGGTAAGGAGCTATCCCGGTGTCGGGGAGGAGGTGGAAGCGTGGCAGGACAGCAGGGGGTATTCCTTGACTTCATGGCTATCAACTTTCAGAGGGAAACTGAGGCCCAGATAAGGTGTGGGGCTGGGTGTTTTGAGCTGCCCCCCAGGCTTGCTTTGTCCCAATGCAGATGGGGTCATCCTGGAGAGCAGCAGCCGCCTCCTCATCTCCTCCACACTAAAAAATTTCCACCTTCTGACCATCCTGGTGGTGACCACTGAGGACCTAGGCATGTACACATGCAGCGTGCACAATGCCCTGGGCACGGCAGCCACCACAGCTGTCCTCCGGAAAGCAGGTGTGTGGGCCTCGCCAGACCAGCTCAGCGGGGACTGGGAGAGGGGCCACTCCAGGCTATCACCTCCTCCCTGAGTTTCCAGTGGGGCAGGCAGGCCTAGTCTTAGACCCCACTGATCCCTAGAGGGGGTCAGGTGCCCTGCTCTACCACTCAGCCAAGCTGAGGCATCTCTGACCAGAACTTGGGGTGGGCAGGGGCCTGCGAGTGAGGGCCACTCCATGGGCTCCTGAATGTACACTAGATGAAGGAACCTTGTGGTCAGGCAGACAGGCACCTCCTGAGCCTCCAGCAGGAGAGGCAGTGGGTCCCTCTGCCAGGCAGCACTGGAATGGGACCCTGGAATCTATGGGACCAGGGGAGGGTGGGCTCAGGGCCTGACAGTAGGATGCGGGAGTGGGGACAGGGGCTCAGAGCTGCATGGGCCGCCCCTGGAAGCCCACCTCAGACCCCTGACTGTGGGCCCTGCAGAGCGCCCCTCGTCCTCCCCGCGCCCAGACATCGGGGAGGTGTATACTGATGGGGTCTTGCTGGTCTGGAAGCCCATGGAGTCCTATGGCCCTGTGACCTACATTGTGCAGTGCAGCCTAGAAGGTAGGGCTGTGCCTGTGCTGTTGACTCCTGGGGGGCCCTGTGTCTAGTGGAGGGAGGGGGGGTGCAGGAAGTACCAAGCCAATCTGTGCTTCTGGGCACCCAGGGGGAAAGGACTGCCCCCCTCTGTGCTCCTGGGCAGCCTTACTCGGGAAGGGGTCTCTCCACCTGGGACTCTGGAGTGGGGAGCGCTGGAGCTACCCCTCACCCGCTCTGTGTGGCCAGGTGGCAGTTGGAGCACGCTGGCCTCAGACATCTTTGATTGCTGCTATCTGGCCAGCAAGCTTTCCAGAGGCGGTGTGTATGCCTTTCGGACTGCGTGCGTCAGCAAGGCCGGCATGGGCCCCTACAGCAGCCCCTCTGAGCAGGTCCACCTGGGAGGGCCCAGGCACCTGGGTGAGCCTCTGCAGGACCTGGTGGGTGTCGGGTGGTGGTCCCTTTGGAATTGCCCTGCCACTTCACCAAAATATATACAATCACTGGGAAGGTTTTTTCTGGCTAGTATGCTGCCCCCACTCCCTCCCCAAATGGTCCAAAGAATGAGAGGCCAAGTGTGGGTTTAAAGGGTGCCAGGGAAGGGGTGCGAGAAGACAAGGTTGGGGACCTGGGGCTAGGGGGAGTCACCAGCTTCCCTTCCCACAGCCTCCGAGGAGAGCTGTCCTGCACCGTCAGCCCAGCCGCTCCCCAGCACGCAGACCTTCGCCTTCCAAACACAGATCCGAAGGTGCGGCCGCTCCCCAATCCGCTCTCCAGCATCTGCACCCCCTCCTTCCCTGCTGGGCTTCCTCCCTGCAGCTCTGAGAATGGGAAGGGGCTGCAGGAGGGCACGTGGGGGACAGGAAAGGCCCTCAGTAGCCTGGCCTGTGCCTCCTCACCAGGGGCCGCTTCAGCGTGGTGCGCCAGTGCCGGGAGAAGGCCAGTGGACGGGAGCTGGCCGCCAAGATCATCCCCTACCACCCGGAGGACAGGACAGCCGTGCTCAGCGAGTACGAGGCCCTCAAGGGCCTGCGCAACCCGCACTTGGCCCAGCTGCAGGCCGCCTACCTCAGCCCCCGGCACCTGGTCCTCATCTTGGAGCTGTGCTCAGGGCCGGAGCTGCTCCCCTGCCTGGCTGAGCGGTGAGGGGCCACTTGGCTTGGATGCAGGGCTGGGGGAGGAGGGGCACAATGCCAGAGGCTCACTTCCTGGCTTGCATCCGCCTCCACCGGGAAGGGGCTCAGCGAAACTCACCAAGCTGAGCCCTCCCCTGTGCTCCCAGGGCCTCCTATTCAGAATCTGAGGTGAAGGACTACCTGTGGCAGATGCTGAGCGCCACCCAGTACCTGCACGCACAGCGCATCCTGCATCTGGACCTCAGGTCCGAGAACATGATCGTCACAGAGTACAACCTGCTCAAGGTGGTTGACTTGGGCAACGCTCAGAGCCTCGCCCAGGAAAGGGTCCTGCCCTCAGAGAGGTTCAAAGACTATGTGGAGACCATGGGTGCGTGGGGTAAGGGGTGGGCCAGGAGCCAGTCCCTCCCACAGTCCTGCCTCCAGGCCTCACCTGTGCACCTGCTTTCCCAGCCCCGGAGCTCCTGGAGGGCCAGGGTGCCGTTCCACAGACTGACATCTGGGCCATCGGTGTGACGGCGTTCATAATGTGAGTCACCGCGTGACGGGGGCGGGAGGCGGGGGGTGGGGGGGGTTGTGGGGGCTGGTGTGGGATCCATGAGGATGACCTCAGACCCCCTTGTGACCTGAGTCCCCTACCTCGCTCCCGCGCAGGTTGAGCGCTGAGTACCCAGTGAGCAGCGAGGGCACGCGAGACATGCAGAAAGGCCTGCGCAAAGGGCTCATCTTGCTGAGTCGCTGCTACGCGGGGCTGTCCGGGGGAGCCGTGGCCTTCCTGCAGAGCACGCTGTGCGCGCACCCCTGGTAAGGTGGCCCTGTCCCCCAACCCCCACCCTGCCGCCCCCAGCTGCCGGTCCTGCCCATCCCCCTGTGCCCTGCACCCGCCAGAGCAGGCTGACACCCCACCACCACCACCACCACTCTCCATGCTCCAGGGGCCGGCCGTGTGCATCCAGCTGCCTGCAGTGCCCATGGCTGACTGAGGAGGGCCCAGCCTGCTCCCAGCCCTCCGCGGTGACCTTCCCCACAGCACGTCTGCGTGCCTTTGTGCGAGAGCGTGAGAAGAGGCGGGCGCTGCTGTACAAGAAGCACAACCTGGCCCAAGTGTGCTGAGCGCTTGGTCCTGCGGTGTTTGGGGTGGGGGTGGGGGGGTGTCACACTGCTAGGCAGCACACCTGGCCTCCACACGCAGTATATGCACAGACACTAATAAAAACCAGAACCACATGAGGCATCATCTATTTCACTGTTTTGTTTTGGGGAAGAGGGTGAGGGCCCTGCACCTTCCTGGGGTTTGGGGAACCATCCATTTAGCAGAACTGCCCTTCCTTGGTTCATGGATTGAAAGAGCCTGTCAGGGCAGTCTCACTAGAGGTAACCAGCTTACAAAGAGAGCCTCCCCCTGCGCCCCCCCCCCCCCATCAAAGCCCAGGCACATTGCAACCGGGCACATTGGTCTCTCAGCCCCAGCCCACCTGCCAGTCTCTGAGGCGTCTCCACTGGAACTCCTGAGCTCCAAGGTGCACAGATCGAATGGTTCCCGTGGTGAGCTTCCTGGCCTCTGATCCTCCATCAAGGCCGCCAGGAAAGGCCACTGCTGCCCTTTCTTGGTCTGAGGCAGGAGGAGCCTGGTGAGTGACCAGCCAGGCCACCCAGAGAGGGTGGAGAGGTGGGCTCAGAGCGAGGGAAGGTGTGATAGAAGCTGCTGAGGAGCCGGAGCCATGGTGGCGTTTCCCCCACCCTCATCCTGCCAGACGCTCCTGCTGCCCACAGAGGAGTCCTGCTTGGGAAGGTATGTGGTCCTGAGGCTGCATGAGCATGTGCCGCCTTGTTTGATCTCCACCAGCTCCGATTCTACCTGCTGTCAGGAGTGGTCTCCCAACACCAGCGCTCCTCAGGGGCAGGCCAGTGTGCCCAGGGCCTATGTCAGAGCGCTGTGCTGTGGAGTTCTCCCTCCCACAGGGCACCTCCTGTACCCTGGCCATTCCTGTTCAGACGCATAGTGAGCACACCACCAGTCTCGGCCCTCACGGTGCCCTGTGGCACCTGCGTGTGAGCCCGCTCCTTCCTCTCCACCACACACTCACCCAGCCCCAGCTCACCGTGTCCACAGAAAGCTGGGCTCTATATGTTGGGACCAGGTGACCCTTTCATCCTTGTCTTTGGAGGATGTATTTCTTTGGTGACCTCATCTGTGCTGTGTGCTGGGATGACTTGCTCTTGTCTAATCCTGTAGAGATCAAATTCTGCAAGTTGAGCAGAGCTCTGACTCTCACACTGAGAGACACTTGCTGGGGCTGGACAGAGGCAATGGGTCTTCCAGATCCCCCAGGAGCTCAGCTTTCCTGGGTCTATGCTGGGCTGGCCTTGCCTCCTTGAAAGCCCAGGTCTCCTTGTGCATGCTGCCTTGGTACTCGGTACCAGTGCTTCTTGTGAAACAGCTAGTGGCTTGCCTAGGACTCACCCTGGTAACATCCTATAGCATGGGCCATGCCACATCCTCACTCACTCCTCCCATGACTCTCCTCTCCTCTCATCTCTCATTCGGGTTGGCCCTCTTCCCGACTGAACCTTGCCTGATAAATCCACTCAAACCCAAATTCCCTTTATTTTAAGTATTTTATTGGCAGGTTGTTTCTAAAGATCAAATAAAATGTACTGCATTTTAAACAGTCACATCATATTTTATCATATGCTTTTTCAATTAAGTTTTTATTATGAGACTAGAGGCCCAGTGCACAAAATTTGTGCACTCAGGGGTGTCCCTCAGCCTGGCCTATGCCCTCTTGCAGTCTGGGACTCCTCGGAGGATGTCCACCTGCTGGCTTAGGCCCGCTCTCTGGGGGATAGGGCCCAAGCTGGCAGTCAGACATCCCTCTGGCAGCCCGGCAGCCCTCGGGGGATGTCCACTTGCCAGTGGGGAGCAGGCCTAAGCTGCAGTCGGACATCCTTAGCGCTGCTAAGGAGGCAGGAGAGGCTCCCACCACCACCACTGTATTGGCAGCCATCAGCCTGGCTTGTGGCTGAGCAGAGCTCCCCATGTGGGAGCGCACTGACCACCAGGGGGCAGCTCCTGCATTGAGCGTCTGCCCCTTGGTGGTCAGTGTGTGTCATAGTGACCAGTCATTCCCAGTCTTTCTGCTGTTAGGGTCAGTTTGCATATTACCCTTTTATTATATAGGATAGAGGCCTGGTGCATGGGTGGGGGCTGGCTGGTTTGCCCTGAAGGGTGTCCCAGATCAGGGTGGGGGTCCCGCTGGGGTGTCTGGCCAGCCTGGGTGAGGGGCTGATGGCTCTTTTCAGGCTGGCCAAGCCCCCCCCCCCAGTGGGGACCCTCACCCCATGGAGGTTTGGCCAGCCTGGGTGAAGGGGCTGATGGCTGTCTTCAGGTTGGCCACACCCCCTTTAGGGTGGGGGATCCCCATTGGGGTGCCTGGCCAGTCTGGGTGAGGGGCTGAGGACCATTTTCAGGCTGGCCAAGCCCCCCAGCGACAGAAGCTCCCAGCCTCTCCTTTTTTTTTCTTTTTTTTTTTTTTCTTATTCTGGGATTTATTTACCTTCTATAATGGAAACTTTGTAGCCTTGAGAGAAGCTCAGAGCCGGCCAGTGTGGGCAGGAGGGAAGCCTCCTGCTTGCTCCAGCTCCGTGGCCACGGCTAGCTGAAAGCAGGTATCTGGGGTTTATTTATCTTCTATAATTGAAACTTTGCTGCTTTGAATGGAGCTCAGAGCCAGGCTGTGGCAAGCAGGAAGCTTGGCTTCCTCCATCATTGGGGCAACCAAGCCTCCTGCTTGCTCCAGCTCCATGGCTGCCGGCCGCCATCTTGGTTGGGTTAATTTGCATATAGTCACTCTGATTGGCTGGTGGGCATGGCTTAAGGCATAGCGAAGGTATGGTCAATTTGCATGTCTGTCTTTTATTAGTGTAGAGATCATTGTTGAATCACATGCAGTTGAAAGAAATAATACAGCCGTGGCCGGTTTGGCTCAGTGAATAGAGCGTCAGCCTGTGGACTGAGGGGGTCCCAGGTTCGATTCCGGTCAGGGGCATGTGCCTTGGTTTCAGGCGCATCCCCAGTGGGGGGGAGGGGGGAGATGGTGCAGGAGGCAGCTGGTCGATGTTTCTCTCTCATCGATGTTTCTGACTCTCTGTCCCTTTCCCTTCCTCTCTGTAAAAAATCAATAAAATATATATATTTTTAAAAAGAAATAATACAGAGAACCCAGGTATCACTTACCCAGGTTCCCTAATGGTAATATTTTGCAAACCTCTAGTGCAGTGGTTCTCAACCTTCTGGCCCTTTAAATACAGTTCCTCATGTTGTGACCCAACCATAAAATTATTTTCGTTGCTACTTCATAACTGTAATGTTGCTACTGTTATGAATCGTAATGTAAATATCTAATATGCAGGATGGTCTTAGGCGACCCCTGTGAAAGGGTTGTTCGACCGCCAAAGGGGTCGCGACCCACAGGTTGAGAACTGCTGCTCTAGTGCAATTAGACAGCCAGGATAGCAACACTGATACAATAAACCTACAGAACATATTTATCATCAAGTGGAGCCCTCATACTACCCCCCTTTTTTTAACAACCACACCCACTTTCTTCTCACCCTTAACACTCCTTAACCCTGGCAACCAACAATTGGTCTTGAATTTATATACTTTTGTCATTTTACACTTAATCTTAGCCAAAGGCCAAGAAGAGATATACTTTTGTCATTTTAAGTGTTATATAAACAGAGTAACCCTGATTTGACCTTTTGAGGTTGGCTTTTTTTCACCAAGCATAATCCTCTGGCAATTGGTGAATGAGGTTGCATATGTCAATGGGTCATTCCTTTTTATTGGTTTAACACAATTTCTTTAGACACTCACCCACGGAAGGGCATTGGGGTCATTCCCAGTTTGTGGCTGTTTCAGGTAAAGCTGCTCTAAGCATTTGTGTGCAGATTTGCATGTGAACATAAATCTTCCTTGCTCTGGGAAGGGCATACGTGTGCAAGTGCTGCAATTCCCTTTGCATCTTTATCTTCTCTTGGGTGAGAGGTCTGTTCGCGTCTTTTGACCATTGTCTAATTGGCCTATTTATTTGCTGTTGAGTTTTGAGAGATATAAATATATTCTGGATATTAGTCCTTTCTCAGATATGTAGCTTACAAATATACTAGTATTCTCCCACTTTGTACCTGTCTTTTTGTCCTCTTAAATATAGAATTTAAAGAGCAAAAGTTTTAATATTTAAAAGCATCTTAATAACATAAAATTTACCACTTTTAAGTGTAAAGTTCTGTATTGTTAATTACGTGCACATTGTTGTGTAACCATCACCACCAACCATTTCCACGATTTTTCATCTTGTAAAACTGAAACTCTACACCCATTAACCTCCTATCCCCTCCTTAACCCCGACCCTTGGCAACCACCATTCTGCTTTCTGTTTCTATGAATTTGACTACTCTAGACATCTCATATAAGTGGGATCATACTGTATCTTTTTGTGTGTGACTGGCTTATTTCATCTAACATAATGTCTTCAAGGTTCATCCATGTTGTAGCATGTGTGAGAATTTCCTTCCTTTTCAGGCTGAATAATATTCCACTGTATGAATAGACCACATTTATTTGTCCATTCATCTGTCAATGGATATTTGTCAATGCTTCTACCTCAAGCAATTATTGTGCGACAATAAACATGCGTGTACAAGTCTCTCTTTGAGGTCCTGCTTTAAATTCTTTTGGGTATATATCCAAATGTGGGATGGTGGGCAATACAGTAGTTTTTTGTAACTTTTTGAGAAACTACCCCACTGTTTTCCATAGTGGCTGCACCATTTTACATTCCAACGAACAGAGTACTGTTTAAGCGTTTCTATTTCTCCACATTCTTATCAACATTTCTTTTCTTTTCTCTTTTTTTTTTAACGGTAGCTACCCTAATGGGTGTGAGATGCTATCTCATTGTGATTTTGATTGCATTTCTCTAATGATTAGCGATGTTGAGCATCTTTTCACATATTTGTTGGTCATTTGTATATCTCTTTTGGAGAAATGTATATTCAAGTCCTTTGTACATTTTCTGCTTGGGTTATTTTTGGTGTTGTTGAGTTGTAGGAGTTCTTTATATATTCTGGATATTAATCTCTTATCAAATCCAGAATTTGCAATTATTTTTCCCCTTTCATAGGATATCTTCTCACTTTGTTGATTCTGTCCTT